ACTCATATCGCTATATCAATTGCAAGGATTATTATTATTATCACATTTCAAAGCTCTTCCCTGGAAATCTAGTGAGATCCAAGACTATTTGGTTGTTTGGAGCCACCTGAGTCACGGTGATGAGTTTCCGAGTGTGTGACTCCAGCTGACTAAAACAACGAGCCCTAAGAAAGGTTGGACTGTTTGAAATAAAATAAATAATAATCATTTAACATAGCGCCTTGCAAGGCAGGGGGCACGTCTCAAAGCATTTGCTGCAAAGCGTAGTGATGGTGCATATTTGCAGGTGAATGCAGCAGCCAGTTTGCGCATGGCGATGTCCCACAAACAGCTGTGAAGTGAATGACCCAAACTGGGAAATTGTCGGCTCGGACACTGGGAGAAACTCCCTTCTCTTTTCATGCAGAGTCCTGCAATCTTTTTCGTCCACCGAAACAGGAAGTTGGGACCTCGATTTAATGACTCAACCAAAATAATCCGGGGCACTGGAGTGTCAGTCTACACTGCGTGGTTCTGGCTTGCAAGCATGCTAGTGTGTCAGCCTAGCTGAGTGGTAGCACTCTCACCTCCCGAGTCTGTACGTTGGGGGTTCAAGCCCCACGTCGGGATTTGGAATCACATCATCTTAAGATGACACGCCAGTGCAGTGCTGGGGGAGTGTTGCATTGTCGGATGTGCTATCCTTCGGATAAGACGTTAAATCGATTCAGGTGGACGCTAAAGATCCCATGGCACTATTCAAAAAGAGAATGGAGTTTCTCTCTCTCAGTGTCCTGGCCAACAAATAAAATTGGTCGCTCACTGTTCGTGGGACATTGTTGTGGTGCAAACTGCTGGCCGCATTTCACCCGAAAAGCACACACTCAAAATCACTTTACAGTATATCCTGTGAAGCGCTTTGAGACATGTCAGCGAAGTGAAAGGGCGAAAAATCAAACAGCACTGTTTACTGTAATAATTATTATTTCCCTTCCGCTTTCCTCCCTGGGGTGGAGGGTCACTGTTTACACTTCCTGAGCCTGTGATCACATGGCATGTGGAGGTGGGGATGTGACAGAGCAGGCTGAGGCTTGCTGGGCGGCAGCCACCTGTGTTTTAGTGTTGATGCTCCCAACGGCTTTCTGTACGTGTTGACTATCCAAACACACAGTTTCTTATCCTCTTTGGGTCATTGGCAGCTGATGGGCATGGCTGCCTTTTGGTAAATTGTCAAAGGCGACAATAATAATAATAATATTAATCCTGATGTATATTTGATACAGCGTCTTATCACGTCGTCGAGACGTCTCAAAGCGCTTCAGATGATTTACTGCAAAGTGGATTGACTGTGTATTTTGTAGGCGAAATCCGGCAGCCAGTTTGCGCACAGCAACATCCCACAAACAGCCATGGAGTGAGTGACCAATTTTATTTGTTGACCAGGACACCGCAAGAGAGAAACTCCCTTCTCTTTTCGAATAGCTCCACAGGACTATTTAACCTGAGCAGGCAGGCAGGATCCCGGTTTAACGTCTCGTCCGAATAATGGCACTTATAATAATGGCACAATAATCGACAATGAAACCACCAACCCCCACCCCCCTGAACCCCAGCGATTCACCAAAGTGTCAGTTTAGGCTACGTGGGGTTCGAACCTGAAACCTTTTGACTCAGAGGAGAGAGTGCTACAATCCTTCACGTGTTCCAGACAGCATTGCCGGGCTTTTTGACCAAGGTGGAGAACTGATGGCTTAATGTCTCATTTGAAGGGCGGCATCTCTGACAGTGCAGTCCCCGTCTCCCCCCCACACCCCCCCATACCCCGTAATGCCCTGGAATGTCAGCCTGAGAATGAGCTCCGGCCCTGATTGACAGACTTGAATCCCAACCCTTGTGACCTGGAGGCGAGACCTACTGAGCTAAGCTGAAAGGTATGGAGGCAATTGCGCAGCGCTTGGTGCTGTGGTGCGCGCACTGTGCCGTGGGAGCTTAACGCTGCATTACTGAAGGAACCTCATAAGCAAGATATTTATTTTCTTGCAAAATGCCAAGTAAAGTACTGGGAAAGTGCTGCATTGTCTCTCAGTTTTTGTTTGTTTCATATACTCTATATATAATTCACCCCATAGCTTTTTGTAGGGACATTGCTGTGTACAAACTGCCTGCCGTGTTCGCCCACAAAATACACAGTGATACATTCTGTGAAGTGTTTTGAGACATCTCAGTGACGTGATAAGGCGCTATATCCAACGCAAGGATTATTATTATTCTCTTTGACCGAGCCTTCAGTGTTCTTTTGCCTCTCCATTCCCCTAGGCTCTCACCCCCAGTTCGGGTGCCAAGCCAGAACTGTTAAGCACCTTGGGATGTCCTCGGGTGCTGTATATAAATGTAAATTTGTAATGTATTGTCTAGTAGTTACTGCTGGTTGGGATGTCCTCCCGACGAGAAAGACGCTATAAATGTAATTTTGTTGTTGTTGTTTGAATGGGTGTTGGCCTGTGCCTTGTCAGAGAGGTCAGTGATGCTTTCCTATCTTCAGAACTCCCAGCACTGAGCGGCAGATATTATCTCTGCCACCTTGTCTCTGCTTGCCAGGATGTGTGCTTATTTGGCAACAACAGCCCTTGAATGTGCACCTCACACTGTAACATACGCATCATCTCCATTAAAAAGTCGAAACTTTCAAACCTGCTTGTTGTGTAATCTTGACACTCCCTAATCAGAGCTAGGCTTGCCTCGCCTCCCAAGTTCTATGAGGACATCATGGATTCTGTGTTAATTTCCCTGGTTGAGAATACAAAAGGTGCATCACAGTACATACTTGCACATCAAGTGTGAGTGTGTTTAGCATTTAACCATTTGAGAATCTTCAGCAGCTAGTGAGTTGCCAGGCTGGTTTTCCCTGGGATGACCCTTGTAGCCTCACCATTTCCTCCCATCTTCTCTCACTGCCTGTGGTGTAGTGGCGGCCAATCCATGGCCCGTGCGTCTTCCCTAACTGAACTTTGCTCTAGGACACTTTGCTATCGAGTCAGTTTCCCCCGCGCTCTGAAACTCCATCCAGAAGCCCCTCCGACTCGCTTACTTCCTCCCTCGTTCAATGTCTGTCTCAAGATCTACCTCTTCGCCCTCGCTTTGGGTCATCTCTCTCCCCTCCCCACCACTTTCTGGTTCCAATCCCAGCTCGGGCACCCAGCTGGCAGTGTTAGACGCTTTGAGACGTCCTCCTGTGTGAATGTAACTTGTGTAATTGTGACTGTATTCATGGGCTTCGCGAAGGGTATTTTTCTTCTTTCCTCTCCCGCTGTTTACGCACTTTCCCTGGTTGAGAATACGAGAGGTGCATCACAGCACACACATGCACACCAAGTGTGAGTGTATTTAGCGTTTAACCATTTGAGAACATTCAGCAGCTAGTAATCAGATAATATCCCTCAAGAAAAAAAGCAATAATAATTTGGTCATTTTCAATTCACGACTGTTTGTGGGACACTGCCGTGTTTCACCCACAAAAAATGCAGTCAATTCACTTTACAGTATATTCTGTGAAGCGCTTTGAGACGTTTAGAAGACATGAAAAGCGCTATATCAAACGCAAGGAGTATTATTATTATTATTTCTGCAACCTTCAGCCTCTCTGCCTTTGGAACTCCATCCCGCAGTCCCTTTGCCCTCCATTACCTCCTTCAAGGTCTGTCTCAAGACGCTCCTCAATGAACACCTAGCCCATACCCTCACTGCCCTCCCCACCTCCTGATCCCAACAGCCAGCTTGGTTGCAAATCCTTGACTGTCCAGCGCCTTGGGACGTCGTCCCGATGTGAAAGGGGGCTATACAAATGTAGTTTGTTGTTGAGCATTGAGCATCATGGCTATGCTATGTGAGGAAAGGCCACCTGTTCCCCCCTCTCTGCTCAACAACGACTGGGATAATCCTGCTAACTAGAGCAACAGGAAATGGATTAAGAGGATCACAAAATCACCTTACTTAAGGGCCCGTTTTCAAGCAGGATGACTGCGATCCCTGAACCAACCGCAGCACTGCTCCCTCCAGGTCAAGCTCCAGGTCCAAGCAATTCTGAACATAATTATAATAATCCTTGCATTTGATGTAGCATTTGATCATGTCGTTGAAACGTCTCAAAGCACTTCACAGGATCTACTGTAAAGTGATTTTGACCTGTGTATTTTTGAGGGCGAAACACGGCAGCACAATTGCACGCAACAAGCAATCGACATTAAAACCAGGGTTCCTACTTACTGCTATGTAAACAGACGCGTGTGGAAAAAGGAAACTTGCCTAAGGTTTCGCCCTGCCCGGGAATCAAACCTGGGCCCTTTCGCTCGCGAAGCGAGTGCGCTAGCCACTATGCTGCGGGATTCCATGGCATTCGCTTTCAGTACTGAATAAGATAGTCCAACGTTCATTTTGAAAGAGCCCTTCACATTGCATTTCTCTTGCCAACGATGGCTGCGTGTCATAAGTATAATTCTTGCATTTAACTTAGAGCCTTATTACCCCGCGGAAAAAGTGTTTCACAGGATTTACTCCGGAGCAGTCAGCGGTGGCCAACCTTTACGGCCGGCGAACAAAGTAGATTGTGAAATATTCAATCGAAGAAAAAAAACTGGTGACGCACTACCGATTGAACACGGACTTATCTAGACTCGTGCGAATGTTTGGGGCCAGGGGGTGGACTGCTTCTTGATGGTCACACGACCAATAGATTGGCCACCACTGGTCTAGAGTTTAGTAAGTGTGTATTTTTAGGTACACATGTCCCCTCACTGATCCATGCGTGTACTGTACTGATGCCCCGATGTGAAAGGCAGACAAGACATCGGTTTAACATCTGATCCAAAGGACTGTCGTCCCAGCACATGGGAAGGGGTTGGAGAGAGGGAGCTATGATCTGGGTTTCCCCTGCCAGGGAAGGGATTGGTGTCCTTCACCGAACCACGCAAAGAAAAGTCTATAAAGCTGTAAACATTTTTTTTTACCCCCCTCTCTCTTCCCAGAATCTTTCAGGATTTCCACAACCTGGTCCCTGAGCAGCGGCAGCAGCAATGACAGGTCGCCTACAGTCACGGCGTCCGTCAGCTCAGTGTCAGTCAGCACCGACCGCTCGGACAGCGACCGTCCAGTGAGCGTCAGTTCCTCCGGTTCTTCACAGGACGCGCGGAGCCTGTACGGGAGCAACGGAGCCCTGTCCGCCAGCGCGTATCACATAGATTGTCCGCACAAGATGGAGGAAGTGGACATCAGGCAGTGCTCCAACACGGGCAAAGAACACGGGCCCTTCAAGCTCAACCGCATGTGCAACAACAACAATAATTCGGTTAGCAGGCCCGGCACGGACGGAAACTTCCAGCAACTTCCGACGTCACCCATAGCAACCAGGGCCATGGTGCCCAACCCCAAGTTGTCCTATGTGGACAGGGTGGTCATGGAGATCATTGAGACGGAGCGGATGTACGTGAGGGACTTGAGAAGCATTGTTGAGGTAGGTCTTTAAACTGCGAGGCTTCTCTCCTGCTCTACTCATCCCGCACCTGAGCTTCCAGAGGTTTCTCTCTGGCTCCCCGTCCAGAAATCTGCATAACATCAGTTATAGACTCGGGTGGGGAATGTTAAACACTGTGGAGTTTATCAGGTGCTAATGTGGGTCACAGAGGTTAGATCCCGATGCCTCTCAGTGGAATGGCCATTGATTAACATTGTTACTCAATCTGGATGTGTCAATGTAGACAGAGCTTTTACTTTGCTTTTAACCCATGCTGTCGCTAAGCTGGGAGTGCTGGATGGATAGTGTAGAAGGAGCTTTACTCTGTATCTAACTTCTCTGATACATGTTTTACTGTCTGTTGAAATGAACGCAGAACATGTAATTACTGGGGCTCTATGACAGCCCATTAAATATGAAAGAATCTGCTTTGTTCTGTGCAACGCGAGACACCTGGTGAATGTCTCCAGACAAGAATGGCTCTTTACTGAAAGAGCAGATGAAAAGGACAATTGGAGTTTGGAAAAGAGTTTCTGATATATTGTGCATGGTACTTCCACTTACTGCGCACACACCATCTATTGTCCCGAGTACACACCTTGTATTGCCTGCAGCGTACAGCATTTATTGCTCCGAGTGCATAAAATTTAACGTTCACACTTTATGGCTCCAGTTATAACAGTGGACACCCCTGTTATATCAGAGGCTCCGCAGGTTAGCGGTGCTCCTATTAAAGAAAATGAAGTTTCAGGCAATCTTATTGATGTGTTCAAAATGCTCGAGGGTTTTGATAAACTATTATTTGACAAAGAAATTGTTTGAGGTGAACAAGAGCTGGTGTCTGAATGTTTTACTTTGCTAAGTGACAGCTGTATTATTTCTGCTCCTGTACATTCCTGTGATCTTAAGTAATAACAGAAAGCACACAGCGCACGACGTGTCTGGCTACGACCACCTGCCTTATCACGTTGCTGAGACGTCTCAAAGCGCTTCACAGTATAAATCGTAATCGACTGTATATTTTGTGGACGAAACGCAGCAGCCAATTGCGCACAGCAGTGTCCCACAAACTGTCATTGTTTTTTTTGAGGGATTATTTCCCCTGGAAAGTGATCAGCCTATCGCCGAATAAATGGGTTCTAGTTACTGCTAGGAAACGGGTGTGTGGAGTAAGGAAACTTGCCTAAGGTTTGCCCTACCTGGGAATTGAACCCGGGTCCTCTTGCTTGTGAGGTGAGAGTGCTAACCACTATGCTACGCTACGGGACTCCACACCATCAAATGGATTATTTTCCACCTCACGTCCCTGACTCGGGGATGTGTGACTAACTGGTTTGAAAGGGAAGGAGCAGGAAATTTCACTATAGTAACCGCAGGCTGGAATCCTCATTCCACCGAGCTGGTCTTGGGCAGCAGTGGGATGTGAATACAATGCGATTGATAGAGCTGTGGACGGATACATTGGTACCTCCAGGGCTCTCAGTCACCAGCGGCTGTCACTGAGCTCTGGCCCAGGCCAAGAGGACACTGAGCTGTCAGACTAAGCCAGACTTCAGGGGTTAAACATTAATCGAGCTGGTTAAAACTCCGAGGCTTTCAATCAGAGCCACAAATCAGTCGTGAGGCCAGAAGAGCTTCCCCCTCGCCCCCACGCACACCAACTCTGCAAACATCGCCCTCACTGGAGCTGCTCATTCAAACAGTGTCTGTCGTGGGAGACTGATGGAGAATTCACACAAAAGGGAGTAGAAAACTGGAACTCTCTCCCCCAGAAGGCTGTGGATAGATATTGGATCAAATAATATTTTCAAGACTGAGGTAGATAGATTTTTGTTAGGTCAGGGTATTGAGGGATGTGGAGCAAAGGCGGGTAATTGGAGTTGAGGTACAGATCAGCCGTGGTCTCCTAGAATGGAGGAACAAGCTCGAAAGGTTGAATGGCACAGACATGGTCACACCTACACTATAATCACACACATACTATCAGGCCCCCACACACACACATCTGTACAATCTGTAAGGAAAGGCTAAAAACACTTGTGCGCACACATTCACCCACATGCACAGTTACACACAGGGACACAAGCACGCATACACACACAACTGCACACACCTGCAAATGCACCATTACATACACATGAGCATCTCGTGTGCACGCGCACAAACACACACACATAGACATGTTTCCCACATCCACACATAATAAGCCTTGTATCTGAACATTTCTGGGGTGATAGTCTGATCACTGCCCTGTCCCCAGTTGACACTGTGCCATGTCTTGCTCCTTGGAATTGAGTTTGTATGTGAATCTGTATTAATATTATTATTAATCTTGAAGGGGTTTGTTTATGGACATTCTTGCTCGTTCTGACGCTGATTGAAAGGCCCTGTGTAAATCCAAGTTGTTGTTGGAACGTTTTCGGGAACTATAGGAAGCCACTGAGCAGCAAGTTCACTGTGAGGCTGACTCAAGAATCCTGAAAATAGGATGTAACACAAGCCCTTAACTCTCCTCAGTGAGTGAGGGTAATTGCGGGTAGTGAGTGTGGGTCGAATCTGAGACCCTCCCTTTGGAGGCAGGGTGTGGTGCTTGTGGGTTGGGCGTTCAGCCAAACTCCCAGCTATAGCCAAGGCTGGCAGTTGCAGCCTGAGAGACTGAGCATGAGCTTGGCTGATACATAGAGCAGGAACCAGGAATCCGGACACAACTCACACCCCTGCTAGGCTTGTAAACTAGTTTGGAGCAGTTGCCTATAGACTCCAGCAGTTGCCCCAATGCAAACTGTGCCTTGGCGCTTGCCAACCTGCAAAGGGTCCTATAACGTAGTGGTTAGAGCACTCACCTTGCCAGTGAGAGGACCCAGGTTCGAAACCTTAAGCAAGTTTCCTTACTCCACACGCCTCTGTTTATCTAGCAGTAAGTAGGAACCCGATTGTTAGTTGATTGCCAGGGATAATAATCCCTCCCACTCCAAAGAAATTTGGTTAGTCAGTCCACGACACTGCTGCGTGCAATTGTGGAGTCCTGTAGCTCAGTGGTTAGAGCACTCGCTTTGCAAGTGAGAGACCTGAGTTCAATTCCAGGCAGAGGGCGAAACCTTGGGCAAGTTTCCTTACTCCACACAGAGCCTAATAATAATCCCTCCAAAAAGACAAAACAATAATAAATTGGTCATTTTCAATCCACGACTGTTTGTGAGACATTGCTGTGCGCAATTGGCTGCCGCGTTTGCCCACAAATATACAGTCAATTCACTTTACAGTATATTCTGTGAAGCGCTTTGGGACATCCTCCCGACATGAAAAGCGCTATATCAAATGCAAGGATTATTATTATTATTATAAACAGAATCAATCCCTCCAGGGAGAGAGTGCGCATTCCAACAATCTGCATCCATGCATCCCACCTACACCGTGTGAAGGTGGGATGCATGGAATTCTCAGTTTGGTTTGATGATGATGGGTTTCCGCAGGTGTCAGACACATGGTTGACTATAAAAAAATTGCCTGTTGGTCAGGATCAATCTGTCACTCAGTGGCCCCTGGACTCAGGCACCATTCCAATCCTCTTTGTTTCTCAACTTGGTGCTGAGCTACTGGGTGACCTTTGCCCAGTCATCTGTCTCGGCTCTGAGATTACAAAGTCGGACCAGGCCTGGAATGTATCCATTACCCTGTCAGGTAGGCAGTGTTTATGTGTGTTTAATGATGAGGCGTGTAGTCACGCAGAGCCAAGATGGGGGAGGGGGTGACTAAATGGGCAAAAACCTGGAGTAATCATGTCCTTAGATAGAATCTTTACGCTGACTAAACCTTACACAGGCTGGCCTCCCTGCCTCAGGAATATGAATGGATTATGCCTGACTGCACAGAAAGTCCTGTACCATAATGGGTAGTGAGCTCGCCTCGCAAGTGGGTTCAATTCCCAGGCAGGCGAAACCTTTGGCAAGTTTCGTTACTCCACACACACCTCTGTTTACCTAGCAGTAATAGGTAACCCTGATGTTAGCCGATTGCCGGGTAGGTTTCCTGGGTGTAATAATCCCTTTTAAAAAATTAAATAAAACAAAATTATAATAATAATTGGTCACTCAATCCACGATTGTTTGTGGGACACTGCTGTGTGCAATTGGCTGCTGCATTTCGTCCGCAAAATATAAGGTGAATTCACTATATAGTATATCTCTCTGTGAAGCACATTGACACGTCTCAATGATGTGACAACCCACTATATGAAATGCAAGGATTATTAATAGATCCTTCAGTGCCATGCAGTCCCATCCCTCACCTCGCACCACTTCCTGTAACAGTCCCCTTCCTCCACTACACTTCCTGTAATATTTCACTTCGCCCACAAAATATACAATCAATTCAGATTACAGTATATTCTGTGAAGTGCTCTGAGATGTCTTGAAGATGTGATAAAGCACTATATTAAATGCAAGGATTATTATTAGTATTATATTGCCCTTCACCACACCACTTCCTATTACATTCCCCTTCCTGCACCTCTTCCTGCAATATCCACGCCCCCCCTCTCCTCGCCGCCACCCCCCACCCCCCATTTCCTATAGCAACAACAACAAACTACTCATTTACTTTAACACCCCTAGTAGTTCATTTGGTTGGGCATCAACTGGAAGTTTTGGGGTTAAGTTCTGGTGCCCTTGGGACGTCCTCCCGACGTGAAAGGCGCTCTATAAATGGAATCTTGTTGTTGTTGGTGGAACCACTGAGCGCTACAGCCGAGAGTTGTGTGCTTGCCTCATAATGGGGTTGGCTGGGGTGGCTGGTGCCGAGACGATAATCCTGCCAAAGCCAGTTAAGTCCACGGTAATCCAAACCTCATCAGCTCCTCAGTCAGATGAAAAGAAAGCAGGAAAGGACCCCACATTATTACAGCACCTTATCATATCAAATGTCTCAGAGCGCTTCAGAACTAGTTTTAAGGGTAGTGACTGGGTATTTGTAACCCAAAGTGACAATGATTGGCACCAACGAATCTACCACAAAGTGCCATGAAGTGAATGACTGAATAGTCTGAAGGATTGGCCAGTAGACCGGGAAAAATTGGGATCTTTAACGCCCACCTAACCAGACATAAATTCTAGTTAATACCTCATCTGAAGAATGATACCAGCATTGCAGCACTCCTCAGCACTGGTCTAGAATAAACTCTGTATACCCATCACACCAGTGACAGGCTCCTATCACCTAACAGATCGATTTCAAGATCCTCACACTCATCCTCAAATCCCTTCATGCCAGGACACCTCCCTATTTCTTTGACCTGCTGACCGCTCCGGCCTCCTGCTTGTCCCTTGTGACCTCCATTCCATCATCGTTTTCAGCCAATATGCCCGAAACTCTGGAAAACTCTTCCTCGATCCCTCCGCCTTGCCCCCTCTTTCCCCATCTTCAGGTCGTGCCTGAAAATCTTCCTCTTCAACTGTGCTTATGGTCACCTGCCTCTGGCTCGGCATCAGGCTCTGCCATTGCTCGGGGGCGCTATATAATTGCAAGTTGTTGTTGTTGTTGGACTAGGAATTTGAGTCCTGAAGTGGGGTTTGGAGCTGTAGTCTTGACTCCCAAAGGTGAGAATGCTGCCAAATGAGCCAGGCTGATCGGGAAATGAGATAAACAAAGAGTCACAAGGGCAAGGAACTGGAGCTGGCAGCTCTGGGACCAGTCAGTGCTTACAACAACAACAACTTGTATTTTTTAGCAATATAAGGTGCTGGATAGTCAAGTCTTTGAACCTGAGCTGGGGGTTGGAATCAAGAGGGATGGGAGTGGGAGGGGATGGGAGTGGGAGGATATCCGAAGACCCGGTCGAAGAGGAAGGTCTTGAAGGTTTCAGGATAGGTGTGGGCAAACATTACATGGTGGTGGGGGTGGCAGAAGGAGGAAAAATCAGCTGTGTAAAGCTGGATTCCATCTGCTTCAGGCAGGTCTCCAAGGTTTTTGCTTTATATTTTCCCAGTGAGCGCCTTAGCAAAGATCATCCCTGCTGAGTTAATATCTGCAAAACTCTGTTCAGACAGTGTTGGGATGTTTAACACACATTAAAACAGACAGAACTTCTGCTTAATATCTCATCTGAAGGATGGTACCAGCAATCCAGCACTCCCCCAGCACAGTTCTGGACCAGAAACTCAAGTCCTGAAGTGGAGTTTGGAGTTGCTGTCTGACTCAGAGGCGAGAGTGCTGCCAACTGAGCCAGGCTGACCGGGAAGTGAGATAAACAAATAGTCACAAGGGCAAGGAACTGGATGGTGGCAGCTCTCAGTATTAAATGTTTGTGTCAGGAGCAGATCATCCGTTGAATAAGAACTTATTGGCAGAAGGAAGTTTTGGCCCAGTGCTGTAAGGGTTGAGGCTGTGTCTGCTTCCCACACACAACACAGTCTGTGCCTTTCAGCCTTGCTTTCCTAGCTGCCAGAGAGTTGATGACTACCTGCTGGAACCCAGCCTAATGTTTGGAAGGAAGCCTGGTTTCTGGTGGTGTTACGTACACAGTGACTTCATGAGCAACGGATGGAGTGAGGTGGATGACTGTAAAAGGAAGGCAAGGAAGTTTGTCCAGCTAATAGGTCAGCCACACGGACAAATTAGAATGCACGACTGTTTGTGGGACACTGCTGAGTACCGTGTTTCACCCACAAAATGCACAAAATACTTTCCAATATATCCTGTGAAGCGCTTTGAGACGTCTCAATGCCAGTTGCACACAGTAGAGTTCCACAAACAATCGTGGATTGAGTGACCAAATATATTTTTTTAAGGGATTATCTCCCTCGCAAAGCGATCCGTCAGTTGACTGACATCCGGGTTTCTACTTACTGCGAGGTAGACAGATGCATGTGGAGAAAACAAACTTGTTTAAGGTTTCACTCTGCCTGGGAATTGAACCCGGGTCCTCTCGCTTGTGAGGCGAGTGCTCTAACCAATACGCTATAGAACTCCGTGAAAGGCACTGTATAAATGCTGTTTGTTTGAAGTATTGTTAACGTATAAGACAATGTGTGTTTCTGTCTGCAGTGTGAGTGAGGACGGAGGGGTAGGTTCGTGCCATCTCTAATCCACCTTTTCTGATTGTCTAGGATTACTTGGGTTGCATCATCGATACTCCAGATCTGCCCACACGACCTGATCAAGTCTCCTCCCTCTTTGGCAACATTGAGGATATCTACGAGTTTAATAGGTACAGGGATGCGCTTTCATCCTCCCACACACGATCTCTCTCGGTCATTTTACTCATCATTTGTTTCAATCTTTCAGTCTCACGTTCCATTGCTTCCTTTTTTCTCTTTCCTTCCCCCTTCTAACTTCTGACCCCTTCCCACCCCCTGCCCCAATCTTCGCTCCACCTCCAATGTTTCCCACCCCTCCGCAATCTTCCCCACCTCCTCTTCAATCTTCCCCCAAAAGAAATCTTCCCCACTAAAGAAATCTTCCCTGAATAGATGGTCTTTCATCCCCCATTGGCTGTGGTCAGTAAGGAGTCAACACTGAAGAGCAATGTACAGTTTTATATTAAGGAGGAGCTGAATTCCGTGGGAAGACATTCCTTTCGCGAAACAATTCCTTTTCTCTCTCCTTTTTTGTAGAATCTGGAAAGTTTACTGCAAAAGAAGACAGCTAACCAGCCCATCGCTCTCCTACTCAAGCTATCTATTCCAATTCCCTGCTGTTTTCCCCTGTACCTATTAATCTTTATCCAATTTCCTTTAACATGCTGTTAGTGTGGTAATGCAGTCCCCCACAGTGGATAAACATTCTGACTCCCTTTTACTGAGGTGATAAACTCCTGGTCCAAACATTTGGGTTACTGAATTGCACCTTACTGGGTTGCTATGGCACCTTGTTAATCCACTGGTAGGAATCCACACTGTAGATCCCCAGGACATCATTAATTTTTATAGATGAAGTCTAGAGGGAGAGGCAGAGAAAGGGGAGGATGCAGTAGAGAAGAATGTGGAGGAGCTGGACATCACCGCTTAGGGAAAGTGCAGCAGAGACATCAAAATACTCCCTATGTTAATAAAAATCGCACGCGGTTTATTCATTAGCCAAAATCACATCAGCCTGACTGACACCTCTTAAACACTAAAGTTCATCTGCTCCACATAAGTTAAACTTCTCAAAACAGGCGCAAAATTGTCTTTTTAAACCCCAACTTACATCTTCAGGCGATCTTCTGACATCATCTCAGTCCTTCGGATGAGACGTTAAACCGAGGTCTCATCTACCTGTTCAGTTGGACGTTAAAGATTCATTGGCTGCCGCATTTCACCCCAAAAATACGCACTTGATCCACTTTACAGTATACCCTATGAAGCACTTTGAGACATCTCAACGATATAATAAGGCGCTTTATTAAATCCAAGATGATTATTATTATTACAAACCCTACACACTGCTCCCTAAAACTGCCTCACTGTCACACAGACTACACACCGCTCTGTAATGCTCTTAAATTAATTTACAAAAAAGCAAGCATTAAAATCAAGGCCGTATTTAAGAATTTTCCAATTTGTGGCCGCTCCTACACCCAGGCAGAACGCCTTTCTCCCCTATTTAGTTCAGATATGGCTCTTTCCATTAACCCCAGATATTCTGGATCTGGGCACTTGTCTGTTAACCTTTTGAGTGCTGGCTCTATACTCTGTCTGTTAACCCCCGAGGTGCTGGCTTCATATTTTACTCTACCTGTTAATTCATGGGGTGCTGGTTTCATATTCAGCTCTATATCTGATATTCTCTGGCTTACTGTACATATTAAGTGCTTGAAACAACATGCTCTCTCTGCTGTATTTGTATTTCTACTGAAGCTCTGGGATAATCAATCTGCACTTTCTCGTACATTGTTCAGTCTCACTATAATATACATTAATTTTTGCCTCCGGATAGGATATTTGTCTTCTCTGGTGGTGAGTTATGGACAAGTGCACGTTGTTTCTGTTTATTTATTTTCTGCCTTTTAATTTTTCCCTTCCCAACGTGACTGTGTCAGCATGCCTGCATGTCAGCCTGCGTGTGCATGTGTGTGGGCTGTCTCTCAGTGCTGTTTGCCCCCCCCTGCCCCCCTATTCCATCCACCACAGGTGGACAGACTCCAGTTCTTTCAGTCCTACTGTCTCCTATTCACTTATTCCTCCCCCCAAGTTCAATGAGGATCTTCCCAACAGAGCGATCAAGCATGTGAGAACATGCATGAGTCATCTATTCACGCATGTGTCTGCGTGTGTGTTTGGAACACAGGTAGAACAGTGCAGTAGTGTGGTTACAACAGCATGAAGAACATAGATCTCATTGTCCCACAGTGTCCTAACTGAACTACTCTACGTTGAAGCCAATAAACTTGTGGAATGGTTTGCTCAGAAAGACTATAGGCTGAGAGTGTTGACAATCTCAAAGTGGGATTAGGTGGGAATAAGGTGACATTGCAGACGGATGGATGGTGGCGTGAGAGATACCAAGGAACAACATTTAAGAAAATGGGACTACCCTGATGAATTAGAAGTCTTTCTAGGCTTGCCCTATAATTACTGGAGTTCTCTTTTGAATAACTCAATTACTGCAGCATCTCCTAATTTTGATCATTTCTCCGCCCCTGAAACAACACCGGCGAGGTTAGGTGACTGAACGTTGGATTTGTGACTAGCACCCTCTTGGTCTGAGTCCATTCAGCTCCTTCTCAGGTGAGCACTTGTGGACTGAAATTCCCATCAGTGATATGCGTAAGGGCTTTGGCAATAGCAACTGCTAATGCGGATTTGCCCATTATAATTGGTGATGGGTTGCCACATGTGTCAGACACCCAGCTGACCAAAACAAAATACCCATTATAATTGCACTGACTGGAATTTCAGCCCACAGGTGTGGGAGTGAACAGGCGGGTGGACAAACATGTGAGCTAAACCCCCACAAAAAAAAGTAGATGTTCCAACTGAACAGATATTTCAGGTAAGTTACACAGTTAAAGAACAATGTCAGAATTTTACAGGAATTCCTCAATAAGGTACCCAAGTTTCCAACAGGGAATAAGGACTCCTTCTGATGCCACCTACTTCCGGAGTGCAGTTCACTAGGTTGGTGGGATTTCCTGTCATAAGAACAGGAGTAGACCATTCAGCCCCTCGAGCCTGCTCTGACATACAATTAGATCATGGCTTTCCTTCCTTGTTAAGAAACCCTGTGTTTTCCACCCCAGAAACCTGGGGATTCAGATCAAAACAAAGGCTGATTAAGCTAATGACAGTTCTTATTAAGTGTTTGATTTTTAAAGAGTTCTCGATCTCTGCCAGTTCCAGGAAGAAATATTATTTTCTGTACAATGTAATAGAACAGTTTATATGAAGCCAGTGCATTGTCTGGAGCCAGATACTGTACATTCATGTAAATGATCTGATTACAATATATTTGAAAAGGAAATACTTGCAAATAAGTTAGATAGATGTCTGTGATATCTGTTAGCCCTGAGCATGCACTTCACTTCTCAATCACTTCACTGCACAGCAACACAGACCAGCAGTGAAGTCTGGGCTGTTGGCTGATCTCAGAAATGATTGTAGTTGGGGCTACAGTTGGCCGCAATGTCCCTGGGTTAGGGAGGGGACAATCAACAAGGTTTCCTTTTCCCAGTTGCTAAACTGCGCCCCTTTGTGAAATGTGCATGTGTGTGGATGTGGAATGATCTTAAGGTTTGGCTGCGATGCTCGAATCCCCTGCTAACTGACACGTGAACAATGACCACTTCAGTGAGTTATCAGGGGGCTGCTAAGGCTCAGTCAATGGTGCTCAGAACTGTCAGGAGGAGACGAGGGGAGGATATTAAAGGGTGGCGGAATGTAGCATTTGTTGGTGACTGATGTTTATTCTCTCTCTCTTGCTCTCGATCCACAGTGACTTGCTCCAAGACCTTGATAGTTGCAACCATGACCCTGTCGCCGTTGCAAAATGCTTTGTGGACAAGGTGGGTCCTATTTCAACCCAGGCTACAGGTGCCATGCCATTAACTTCTTTAAGGCATAGCAACGTGCTGTACCCATGGGGGAGTGGTGACTGGGCTGAGTTGGGGGTGTAGTGGTTGGGTTGGGGAGGTTGTTGACTTGGTCGGGGGAATTGGTGGTTGGGAATGCAGTGGTTGGGTTGGGACTGGGGGGGATGGTGGTTGGGTTGGGGGTGTGGTAACTGGGTTGGGTTGCTTAGGGGGTGTGGTGATGGTTGCACAGTGACTCGGTTTGGCTGAGACCCATCAATGACTGTCTTATTCCTCTTCTCTGTTGCAGAGCCACTATTTTGAGATCTACACTCAATACTGTACCAACTACCCCAAGTAAGCAGTTGCAAATTTTAGTTCCTATCATTCATGTAGTTACAGATTTAGCAATGCTTGGTGTACCACAGGGGAATACAGGCGTGGCCCAGTGAGGAACTGGGCCACACAGACCACAATTCCCATTCCCTGAGGAAAGGAGGCCAGATTTGCTGATCACTGTCCATCCAGTGACCCACGCTTATTATAAGTGTGTTAGTCCACCAACTCAACAACAACAAATTACATTTGTATAGGGCCTTTCACGTCAGGAGAACGTCCCAAAGCTCTGACAGACAACGATTTAGACCCGAGCTTGGGATCGGAAGGGCAGAGAAGGTGGTAGGAGGGTGACAGAAGGCGCGATCGAAGAGGAGGGTCTTGAAGAAGCCAAGGTGGGGTTGGGGCGCGGAAGAGGCAAAGGGATTGCGTGGTGGGAGTTCTGAAGGGTGGGGGTAGAGAGGCTGAAGGCCCTACTGCCAATTCACTGATTGTGAAGCTTGGCACATGGCTGAGATACTGGAAGGTGACTGGAGCGGGTAGCCAGAGAGGGCAATGAAGAAAAATGGCAAGAATACCTCTTTTAGGTGGCGCTGACACAGATTACAGATCTGCTGTACTGGGTTTATAAAATGAGGAAGGAGAGAGGTCACCTCATTGCTCTCTCTGAGATGTGGGCATCTGAAGGGTGAGACAGATCACAACACGGTAGACCCTGCTCTCTCACCTTCACACTCATCCCACCTGAGCGCAGAGATATTAGACCAGGTGGAACGAAAAGGGCACTAACTTACAGAAAAAGACTTTCACAAAGTCAATTTTAGCTAATTGCACAACAATAATAATAATCCTTACATTTAATATAGCACCTCAAAGCTCTTCACAGAATGTAGTGTGAAGTGTAGTGACTGTGTATTTGTTGGCAAACTCAGCAGCCAATTTGCACACAGCAAATTCCTACAAACGGTCATGAAGTAACTGACCCAATTTTATCTGGGAGGGTTTGTTGGCCAGGACACCGGGAGAGAGAAACAGTTTAATGTCTTTATCTGTAGGATGGCAACTGGGACAATGCAGCACCCAATCTCAAAGCGGGAAGTGTGGAACTGCTCAGCTTGGCTGTGTGTCTAACCCATGTCCAGCAATCATCCAGTACTTTCCTGCATGTGTCCGAAAGTTGTAGAGGAAATGATTTTGTTTCAGTTTTAACTATGCTGGTTAATTGCCTGGTTAGAGAGTGCCCCCTGCTGGATCAGTTTGTGTACTACACTAATCGGGGCGTGCCCCTCACTCCCCTTGCTGGTGTGTTAACCAAATTGCAAGGTCTTATCTTTGGGATTTTTTTTGCATATAAAAATCCTGTTGATTTTCCTGAATTTGCCTATGAGCACAGAACCATCCAATAATTTATACCCCAACAGCAGAGTGAGTGAATGTGCTACAAGGAGAGAACTTGTCTGGTAGTGTCAGCCTGGCTCAGAAGGGTGTGGGGATCAAGCCCTCCGTCAGTTCTTGGAATCACATAGTCTAAGCTGATGCTCCAATGCAGTGCTGGGGTCGTGTTGCATTGTCCCGAGATCCCATCTGCCTGTTCAGGTGGACGTTAAAGATCCCAGTTCTCTCCCCCGGTGTCCTGGCCAACAATCCTTCAAATAAAATTGGTCGCTCACTCCATGGCCATTTGTGGGACGTTGCTGTGTGGAAACTGGCCACTACGTTTTGCTCACAAATACGCAGTCAAAGACACTTTACAGTATATCATGTGGAAAAACTTTGAGACTTATCGACTACGTGATAATGTACTATATTAAATCCAAGGCTTTTGGGACGTCCTCCCGACATGAAAGGCATTATACAAATGTAATTTGTTGTTGTTGTTTGACCCGGCAGTGATCAACTCAGCTGACGTGGGTCTCGATGAAGCGTTAAGCACCTTGAGGCATCCTCACGACGTGAAAGGGATTATATCAACGTAAATTTGTATTGCGTTGTAATAATAATGCTTGCATTTGATATAGCGCTTTTCACGTCTTCTCGACGTTTCAAAGCGCTTCACAGAATAGACCGTAAAGTGAATTGACCGTATATTTGTGGGCGAAACCCGGCAGCCAATTGCGCACAGCAGTGTCCCACAAACAGTCGTGGTTTGAAAATGACTAATTTATTATTGTTTTGTTTTGGAGGGATTATTATTAGGCGTGTGGAGTAAGGAAACTTGCCCAACGTTTCGCCCTGCCTGGAATTGAACCCACGTGTCTCGCTTGCAAGGCGGGTGCTCTAACCACTAAGCTACAGGACTCCACAAACTGAAGTGGGAATTATCTCTGTCACATGGTCGGGAATGACCGGTGCATTACATTACTGTCACTGACTCTGCCCCCAGCGCTCTCTCCCTGTGTGGAGAGCGGCAGGTCACTGTGCACTCACAAGTTGATAGCGCACTCCTCTCCCTACAGCTCGGTGGCGGCCCTGACCGAATGCATGAGGAACAAGATCCTCGCCAAGTTCTTCCGGGAACGGCAAGCCACGTTGAAACGATCGCTTCCCCTGGGCTCGTATCTACTGAAACCCGTCCAGAGGATCCTGAAATATCATCTCCTCCTGCAGGTGACACACTCCCACATTCCCTCAGCCTCTGACACATGCGGAAACCCATCACCGTGCTTAAGAGTATCCAAACCAAGCTGAGAATTCCATGCATCCCACCTACACATGGAGATTCCAGAGATATTTATTGGAATGGAATGTGCACTCTCTCCCTGGAGGAACGCATCCTGCTTACCTAATTCCAGAAAGTATTAGGTGCAGGTTGGGAAAGAAACAAGGCTTTGGGCACCCCAGAATTTGCTTTGGAGTAACTGCTGGAGTCTAACCAGCTAAACCGCATGGCTTGCCATTGATAGCACTGCGTGGCAAGCTTTCCCGCTGCTTGTCCAGCTAGGACCACACTACCTGTTAGAGCATTGGCTTTCAGGGCTATCAGGAGCTGAATGGGAAGAGTCCCTATCCCCAAATCCTTGGGTCTACCCTCCCAAATCCTACCGATGAGCCAGGCTGGCTGTGCTGTCATCAGCAATGCCCTGGAATACTGTAGAGCCACCTGGCTCAGGAGGCGGACTGGAGACCCTCACAGAGGGCTGGCTCGATCCTGACATTCCATTGGCAAACATGTCACCTTGGAGCCAGTTCAGCTCCAAGGTGACTCCGCTCATCTCCCTCCTCCCTCAGGAGGAAAGTCACTAGTTGCCACAATCCCTCTCACTGAGGTCCTTCTGGATCTAGTTCCATGAGATGAGGTCAGTGACTGATTTGCTTCCTGTTTCTATCCAGGAAATAGCCAAGCACTTTGACGACAACGCGGAGGGATACGACGTGATTGAGGAGGCGATCGACACCATGACGGGGGTGGCGTGGTATATCAATGACATGAAGAGAAAGCACGAGCACTCAGTTCGACTGCAGGTACCAGAGACAGAGACCCCATCCCCACCCCAGAGACCCTCCCATCCCAGAGACACCCCCTCCCCCAACACTGTCCAGCTACTCACCTCACCCACCATTGTATGGTCTCTGCGGTACAGCTCCCCCACTCCCAGTGCTGTGTTCAGCATTGCCCTTTGTTGTTGCAGTGTAACGTGTCAGCCCAAGTCGGCATCCGCAAGGCAGTCAGAACCGTCCAGTCAAGAGTATTGCTTGAGGTCTGATCTCGTGTCGACTGATCTCTGTCTTGTCTCTTCCCAGGAGGTTCAGAGTCTGCTGATAAATTGGAAAGGGCCAGATCTGACGACGTACGGGGAGCTAGTCCTGGAAGGAACATTCCGGATTCACCGGGCGAAAAATGAACGCACTTTATTTTTATTCGATAAGGTCCTGCTGATAACCAAAAAACGAGGGGAGCATTTCATCTACAAGAGCCACATCACGGTACGCGCTCACGGGCTTCATGGGCTTCTTGTACGTAGAGGATAACATGTGGATCCCAGGTGTCAGCTATTGGACTGGGATTTAATCACAAGATCGGTTCAGATAATAATAATCCTTGCATTTGATATAGCGCCTTATCACATCTTTGAGACATCTCAAAGCGTTTCACAGGATATACTGTAAAGTGGATTCACTGTGTATTTTGTGGGCAAAACACAGCAGGCAATTGTGTACAGCAGTGTCCCACGAACGGTTTTAACGTCTCATCCGAAGGACATCATCTCTGACAATGCAACACCCCCCCACCCCCCAGCACTGCACAGAGTGTCATCTTAGACTATGTAATTCCACGTCCCGATTGGGGCATTGAATCCACAACCTTCTGACTCCAAGGCTGATTTAAATGATACATTTAATAATGTTTTCAGGCCCCATATCAGGGCATTTGACATTCCAGTGCATTGCCTGGTGAGGGGACTACATTATCAGAGGTGCCATCGTTCAGAGGAGATGTTAAGCCAACGTTGTGTCTGCCTGTTCAGGTGGATGTTAAAGATCCCACGGCACTATTCGAAAAGAGAAGGGAGTTTCTCTCTCGCGGTGAACTGGCCAAGAATCCCCCAAATTGGTCATTTACCTCATAGCTGTTTCTGATACATTGTCGTATGCAAAATTGCCTGCTCCGTTCCCGGTTTTAGGACTTTCAGTATTTCCTGTGAAGCACTTCGAGACGTCCTCCTGACATGAAAGACGCTATCAATGAAAGGATATAACTGGATCTCTGGGAATTTGTCACAGGCTGGGATTCTTTCAGTGGGGAGGTGGAGAGGGGAGAATTTGGATGCTTCCTGTGCCCTTGTGTACGTGTTCAGTTTGATGGTCTCTCTCGCTCTCTCTCTCTCTCTGCAGTGCTCTATGCTGATGTTGATTGAAAGCACCAGAGACTCTCTGTACTTCGGGCTGATGCATTACAAGAACTCGAAGCAGCAGCACACTGTTCAGGTACATGTTCTGGTGCCCTTGTAAGGTTTCCTGTCAATCTCTTGACACCCCCAGACAATTCAGGTCTACCCAGAGTGTCAGCCTGGACTGTGAGCTCAGTACAATACAAATGAGCAGCTTGACGCACAACCTTCTGACACCCTGCTGCCTATTGCCGACCATTAAAAGACAGACTTTCCACCTTTTTTCTGGTCAGCCGGGTGTCTTGACACATACAGAAACCCATCACCGTGCTAAAGACCATCCAAACCAAACTGAGGATTCCATACATCCCACCGACACAAGAAAGTTCCAGAGATAGATTGTTGGAATGTTAAGCTCCAAGGAAACCTTCCCACCCCCACCCCGACCTCTCATACCCCCCCACCCCTTCCCCAGAAGATAGTTGCCAGTTGGTCATTCAACATCCGACCAGTGCTGGTTTGAGCTGGCAGTTACCCGGAACTCCCTGCGAACTTCCCGGTGGGCAACACAGATCAGCATGAAATGCGTGAGAGCATTGCCACCATCTTCCTGTCTGCAGCTCGGACACACATCACTTCCATTTGAGCGCTGGTTCCACCAGTTGGAGCTGCGGAGTTTAAGCAGGCCGCAGGACTCCTTATCTAATTTGCGGGCTGAGGCTGGAGAGACCGGATGTGTGCAGTGACAAGCCACAGTGTGCCCAGGCTGCTCCACAGCTCCCCATTCCCACTGATCAGCTCACTTGATCTACCTCAGCGTAAAGTAGCCTCAACAGGTCCTGAGACATTCCCACAGCACTCCCAGTACATTAAAGTACCCCAGGGATAATAATAATCCTTGCATTTGATATAGCGCTTTTCACGTCAGGAGGACGTCCCAAAGCGCTTCACAGAACACACTGTAAAGTGAATTGACTGTATATTTGTGGGCGAACGCGGCAGCCAATTGCGCACAGCAATGTCCCACAAACAGTCGTAGATTGAAAATGACCAATTTATTATTGTTTGGGGTTTTGGAGGGATTATTATTAGGAGTGTGGAGTAAGGAAACTTGCCCAAGGTTTCGCCCTGACCTGCCTGGAATTGAACTCAGGTCTCTTGCTTGCAAAGCAAGTGCTCTAACCACTGAGCTACAGTATGTGCCTGAGAGTTTGAGTGAGGAAATGAGTGCTTAAGTGAGTGAAGTGTGAGCGAGCAAGAGTGTGATAGAGAGCGAGACAGCAATGCCCCCAGATCTCTGAATCAAGGGCATTGCATAGTAATCCCTCCAAAAAACCCAAAACAATAATAAATTGGTCATTTTCAATCCACGACTGTTTATGGGACATTGCTGTGCGCAATTGGCTGCCGCGTTCGCCCACAAATATACAGTCAATTCACTTTACAGTGTGTTTTGTGAAGCGCTTTGGGACGTCCTCCCGACGTGAAAAGAGCTATATCAAATGCAAGGATTATTATTATTATTATTACTCCAGTGCACTGCTGGGGGATTGTTACCTGCTGCTCTCTGGATGCTATGTTAAACCAAGATTCCATGTCTCTGTTCTTCAGGTGATCATTAAAGATCCCATCATGTTATTCAAAAAGTGAAAGGTGTTCCTCCCATTATTCTGACCAACAACTCTTCACCTCACGGCTCACTTTGTGTGAATTTGGCCAATATGGCAGCTGTATTTGACTACAATAAAAACAGCAACTACATTGACAGTAATTATCAATGAAGTTCTTGAGGCATTTGATATGATCGGGTTTTCTCATGAAGTTCCTGCATGAACAGTGGCATTCAGGTGAGATATCAGATGTCCCCGGGGAGGGGCTGTTTCACAGTGGAAGAAAAATGGAATACACAATGCAGAGATGATTCAAGTGCTGCGAGACATTATTTTAACAGAGTCGTACGAAATGCAAGTTGGTGGTTTAGAATAGTTAGTATTGTGTTCCATGCCGCTGTGATTTTTTTTCATCCCACACCTTTCTGTAGAGTAGTTTTGTTGTCAAGACAGCTGGTTAAGGGTGTGGTTACTCCGAACCGAACAGGACTCCAGCTACAGGATAATAGAACATAGGAATTGCTAGATGAAAAAAGACCAAGGTCCATCCAGTTTGCCTTCTACCAGCGTGGTCGTCAGATCCTACAATAATGGAGATGTTGATAGCAGTTGATTCTGTCTACGACAGAGTGGAAATCCAATGTTTCCAAACCACACTATATTTCACTGTTTGTCATGACTCAAATTACTCGTATACAATATCCCAAAATATTATTTTCTAAAAGAAATCTTTTCTTATTTGAATGAATCAACACTTTCTGTTCCCACCGTCTCTGTTTTTTAAAAAAAAAAAATTTCTCTGCTTTGTGCTTGTGACGTTGTAACATTGCTGTGTCTCTCAGGCAAAGACGGTGGAGGAGAAGAGGCTGTGGACCCATCATATAAAGCGTCTGATTCTGGAGAATCACCATGCAATCATTCCGCAGAAGGTGAATACTAATAATAATGATAATAAAATAATAAGCGTTTAGGGGGCTCCGGCCTGCTCCATGTCCATTATCTGGCTCGCCCCACCATCAGCCTTTCTGCTCCCACCTTTGGAACACCATCCCACAGTTCCTTTGCCTCGCTCCCTCCCTTGCCTCCTTCAAGGCCTGTCTCAAGANCCCCCTCTTCGACCAGCTCGGGTCCAAATCCGTGACTGTCCAAGGGTTTGGCGCTATACAAATGTAATTTTGTTGTTGTTGTTAATCCCCGCTATTGGGGTGTGGACCTCACAGTCCATTGATGGAGTGAGGGTTCCACAGTTTATTTCACACTCATCTAGTCAGGTCTATGTGGTTTGGGCTCATCCTAGATGAAGGAGGGGATAATAATAATAATAATATTAATCCTTACAGCACCCTTCACGTCAAGAAGACGCCCCGAAGCGCTTCACAGGATTTACTGTAAAGTGCAGTGACTGTGTGTTTTCTGGGAGAATGCGGCAGTCCATTTGCGCACAGGGATGTCCCACAAACAACCGTGAAGTGAATGATCGATTTTATCTTGCGGGGGATTGATAACCAAGACACCAGGAGAGAGAAACTCCCTTCTCTTTTCGAATAGTGTCATCATGGGATTTTTAACATCTACCTGAACAGGCAGACGGGATCTCGGTTAACGTCTCATCCACAGGACGGATGGGCCTGGGAGATGGGCTTGTAAGTGATGACAGTCACATTTCCAGCTGCCATCCTGTGAATGGCCAGGGGTGACATGACAGTGATGTCTGTACCTGGGTTACGGTACACTGCCCTTCATTCTGTTTCCTGTTTGAAGCGACTCAAGTCTCTTCATGGTTTGCTCTACAGTAACCTGACTCTTCACTGTTTGCTTTTAGGCCAAGGAAGCCATCTTGGAAATGGATTCCTTCTGTAAGTAACATGCTTTAAATAACCGCACACAATAGAGCCTCATCATAAGACGGCAGTCAGAGTTCGTGAAACCCCAACCAGTGTTATAACAGGGCGCCATACATTCGCTGCACAATACAATACAAAATTACATTCGTATAGCGCCTTTCACGTTGGGAGGATGTCCCAAGACGTCACATTGATGGGCAAATGTCACATTGATGCTCCAATACACAGGAAATGACATTGATGCTCCAATGTTTGGATTTTTTTCATAAGTAAATGTCAGGGTGCACACCACAGTGTCGAGGGGTACTAGATGGGGCAGTGGATTACATTTTCACCTCTGTTTGTGGATTTGCATCCTGTCTACATTGTCTACATGGAGAAGTGGTGTTGTGTCTCTGACCACTGTAATGGGACAAACGTTACCTGGATCTTAGGAGCTCAGAAGAAAGATTTGGGTGGAGGAGACCCTTCAGCCCATTTGATTTTATTCTTCCCAAATACCCACACAGCAAATTTCAAGCTGATTCTTAACTAAGTCCAAAGTCCCAGCTTCAAACCCCTTCCTGGTAACTCATTGCAGGTGAACAATGCAGACAGACACTTTATATCTAATCCATGCTATTTCTGCCCTTGGAGTTTGGCATTAGGCAGTAACTTTACTGTGTATGCTGGATGGATAGCGTAGAGGGAGCTTTACTCCCTATCTAACCCGGGCTGTAGCTGACCTGGTGGTGCGGGATGGGAAGTGTAGAGGGAGCTTTACTCCGTATCTGATCCTTGCTGTACCTAACTGGGACAGGGTAGAGCTTTACTCTGGACCTGATCTGGGAGTGCTGGTGGACTACATTTAGTGTTGAGTAGGTACACTGTGCCTCGGCAAGGCTTCTCACTGCTGGACACATGAGTTCAATGTTGTGTGTGTGTGTGTGTGTCTGTCCTGGCAATGAAGCTGATGGGGATTGACACACCGCCCTGTTCTGTTCTCTCCATTTTCAGACCCCTTTAAGTACCGTTACAGCCCAGAGCGATTGAAGAAATCCATGTCTGCTCAAGAGGAGATTGTGACTGGCCGCCATGGTCGCAGGCAATCGGGTAAGTTCCAGACCAGAGCCACATACGCATTGACCGTGTATTTTGTGGGTGAAACACTGCAGCCAGTTGCAGACAACAGTCCCACTAACAGTCGTGGATTGAGTCACCACAATTTTTTTTGGAGAGATTATTTCCCTCGGAAAGCAATACACCAATCGACCAACATTTACTCGTTTGCCCCTAGGTAAACAGAGGCGAGTGGATTTAGGAAATTTACCTAAGGTTTTGCACTGCCGGGGAATCGACCCTGGGTCATTTTGCTTGCGAGGGGAGTGTGCTAATCATTACACTACAAGACTCTACTATTTCCTATTGGTTGAAGAGTGTGGGTGGGGAGGGGGGAGCGGAGAGGGCACCTGTTGGCAAGGTGCAAGTCACCTGTGTCGGGCAAGGACAAGAGATGAACAGTTTTAACCCATTAGACACTCCAGCTACACTTAAAGCGTAGCGAAACATGATGAGGCATGAAACGCCCCTTCATGCCGAGGATCAAGCTTTGAACTGAGGCAGATGAAAGGTTGAGTGATGCTCAGCTTGGCTTTAATCTGTGCAGCACTCATCGGGGCTGATACCTCATGCCTGTATTTAATTGTTCTATTTCTTCACAGAGCCAGCGAAACAGATCTTGAGATCTCTGACTCAGAATGGTGAGTAAACTAATACCTTTCTTTCACCGCATTTAATCCTCCCCTCTTTCAAATCTCTCTCTCCTTGGAAAGTATAGCCCCGGGCAGGACGAAACTTTAGGCAAGTTTCCTTACTCAACACGCCTCTGTTTACCTAGCAGGAAGTAGAAACCCAGTGTTAGTCACTGCCATGTGCAATTGGCTGCCTCATTTCGCCCACAAAATATACATCAATTCACTTTACAATATTAATAATAATAATAATCCTTGCATTTGATATAACACCTTCTCAAGATTTTGAGACGTCTCAAAGCGCTTTACAGAATATTCTGCAAAATGAATTGACTGTCAATTGCACACAGCAGTGTTCCACAAACAGTGATGGGTTTTTTCCCTCTTTAAACAGTTATGGATTGAGTGATCCAATTATTTATTTATTTTATTAGTTTTTGAAAGGATTATTATCCCGGAAAGCAATCCACCCATCGACTAACAACTGGGTTCCTACTTACTGCTATTATTATTATACCACAGGTGTGCATCTCTAGCAAGGTCACTGGGTGACAATCAGTAGCCAGATTTTTTTCTTTCTCGAGCTAAGAGCCACTGAGACTGAACCTAGGGGCCCCACTGCTGAAATTAGGTAACTCAGAGCGGACTGAAGTTGGAGCCTGAGACTGAGCTGCTTTCACTGATAGAACCAGTAGTGAAAGCCTCAATTTACCTATTAATCCAACTCAGTCCTCACCCAGCTAACATATGGGGCTTTGGCTCAGAGGGTTGAGGATGTATCTATAGCTCCCAAGTCTTACTGGTAAGATAGGCAGGCTGTATCTCTGCTGATGTTCACCAAGCTTCCTCACGCTTTTGAGCCACAGAACCCCCCCACCAAGTCAACGCCCCATGTTATTGACTACGTCACTAATTTATGCTAATCCATCTGCCTCTGTGAATGGAATGAGATTGCATTAAATATTTTGCAGTGATTTAATGAAAACCACCTTGAATGAGATCCTGTATCGAGTTATCGTACCAGAGAATAACTGAATGCTAAATGCTTTTCGAAAGCCCTTTGATCTATCGCTGGTCGAGATTATTCCAGCCGAACAGCGAGTGGACTTAGTGTTAGTGCGATGACCAAACTCCCCCCTGCCAGGCTCTCTTACATTATTTAACCAGGCTCTTCAAACAGAGGTTGAAAAGTTTCACACAAGTAGACCCATTAGTCCTTCCGACAGGCATCTGTGCTGAGAAATGGATTCGGACTCCCCTCAGAGCTCAGAGTGTGAGAAGTGGAAACACTTTGCTCTCAAAGTGGCTGAGTATTGGTGCAGAGGCGATGATCAAAAGGCACCTTTATTTACAGCAGAAAAAAAATTGACATCTTTAAAACTCTCAAGTGTTTCTATTTTATGAAACGAGTTGCCTCGGGAAGTCTCAAGGAAATGAAAATCCCTACACTGCAGCCTGTCTAAGCATTCTCTCTCTCTCTCCCACCCGCCACTTCACTCTGCATCAGATCTGATGTTGTTCTTAATTGGTGCTGCCTTTTTTTCTCTCTCTCTCTCTCTCTCTGTACATTGGTCGCTCTCCCCCTGAGCGAGTGGATGATCTGCAAATGTCAAATGGAAAGGGGACAGCTTCAAGTGTTTGTTTGTGAAGCAAAAATAGATCCTTTGAAAAAAAAGAGAGAGAAACAGCTTGAAAATGGAATGAGATGCTGGGATTGAGAGCAATTAATGAATGCGACTGAATGGCATGGATATTCTGTGGGAATAATTTAACATGAAATATCGCAGGCTGTGTGTGTTTGGGTACGGGCCAAGGGGCAGTGGGTGGGTGAAATGTGTTGGGGCAGTAGGTGGGTGATGGGGCAGTGTGTGGGTGATGTGGTGTTGGGGCAGTGGGTGGGTGAAGGGTGCTGTCCCTCCCGGAACTCTTAAGAATCTCTTTTTCTTCTCTTTCCCCCCCCATCCCCTGTCCCTGGGCTTCCTACACTTCTCTGGCTCCTGTGATACCAGTTTCTCTGAAGGTGAGAAAGTTGATTCTATTTGTGTTCCTCTTTCTTGTTTATTTCCAGTTGATGAGCAATGTCAGGAGTTGCTTAATATCATCATCTGAATCACAATTAAAGTACGTGTCACATCAACTTATTGATTGGCACAGAAACTAGTGACACAGGGTTTAGCCAAATATCCTTACGTCATACAATGCCCTTGATTCAGAGATCTGGGGGCATTGCTGTCTCGCTCTCTATCACACTCTTGCTCGCTCACACCTCACTCACTTAAGCACTCATTTCCTTACTCAAACTCTCAGGCACATACTCCCACACGATGTCTCACATACAATCCACTATTTCACACACACTCTCACACAGATTCACTTATGCACACATGTACTCTCACACACACACACAATGCACATTCTCACATACACACTCTTATCACAAACATTCACACACACAATTCGCTCACACATAATTGGCTCATACACATATTCTTGCACACAATCACATACAATCTTATGCTCGCTCTCACAAATATGTGGAGTCCTGTAGCTCAGTGGTTAGAGCACTCGCCTCGCAAGCAAGAAACCTGGGTTCAATTCTCAGCAGAACGAAACCTTGGGCAAGTTTCCTTGCTCCACATGCCTGATAATAAGCCCTCAAGAAAAAAATAAAATAATAAACTGGTCACTCAATCCACGACTGTTTGTGGGACACTGCTGTGCGCAATTGGCTGCCGCGTTTCGCCCACAAAATATACAGTCAATTCGCTTTGAGACGTCTAGAAAATGTGAAAAGTGTGATATAAAATGCAAGGATTATTATTATTCTCACACACGTTCACACATCTCACATTCACACACACGCACACACAATCCCCTAGATAAATTGGTCATGCTCACTTCATGGCTGTTTGTGAGATATTGTTATGCCAAATTGGCTGCCTGATTTACCTGCAAAACACACTGGACTGGAGCACCAACCTAAACTGTGAGCTCAGGTCTCCAGGTGGGATTCGCACCCACGATCTTCTGACCCAGAGACAGAGATGAAGCTAAGCTGAGCTGTACTCATTTGTTGAAATGATTCGATCTTTTAACCCGTTCAAACAGCATGCGGGCAGTGACGGGCAGCTTCTGGGTAAGGTGGACTCTCTGAGCTCCATGGCAAGCAACAGCACCCTGAACTCCAGCATAGGCGAGCGGCCTGACAATGAGGAGGAGTTGGCACTGAGCAAGGAATCTTTGGACCAGCTGCGGGCAAGCGATTCAGATGAGACGGCAAGAGGCACGGTGCTCGAGCAAGGAGCAGGGGAGCTGGAAGAGGAAGATATAATGATGGAGGGTGACCAGGTAGCGGACTTCGCCAGTACATTACTGGCTGCCATCTCGTGCTGGCACTATAGGGCCAGGGCTTTGCTTTCTGCTAGATTCTCCACGGTGAGCGTCTTCTCTTTCTCTTTCTCTTCCCTCCGGCTTTTGTGTGGAAGGCATCCTGGCCGCCTGCTTCAGCCGTTCTGGGGCTGGCTGGTGCACTAACCTCTACCAACCTGCCACCTGCTACTGCCACTACCACAGCTTTGACAAGGAATGGGTTCAATCATTGAAAGGAGTTGCACCTGGAGCTTTTACTGTTAATCAGTCGACACTAACATTAAACCTGACGTCACTAACCTCCGAACCCTTACGGAAGTTTGATTCAAGTTGAAGAAACGTGTGTCGCGAATCGTGGCCTGAAATGGAACTCATTTAACTAACACTGCGATGAAACTTATCCTGCAAGTGAGAAGCTTATACAAACAGCCGGAAAGGGTTACCAAGAAGCTTTCTATTTTGGTCAGCTGGGTGTCTGACACAAGCGGAAACTCATCACCGTGTTTAAGAGTATCCTCCCACCTACACGTGGAAATCCCAGAGATAGATTTTTGGAATAGAATGCGCTCTCTCCCTGGAGGGATGTATCCTGTTTACCTAATTCCGGAAACTATTAGGCGCAGGTTGACAAGAGCCAAGGCTTGGGGACCCCAGAGTGTGCGTTGGGGTAACTGCTGGAGTGTAACCAGCTAAAACCACACAGCTTGCCATTAATATCATTGTCTGGCAAACTTTCCCGCTGCTTGTCCAGCTAGGATAACCCTACCCATTCAGTCTTTGGCTTGAATGTGGGTGACTCCCTGCCCTTGGTGACTGATCTGCCCTTCCAGGTCCTGCCGATCAGCCAGGCTGGCTGTGCTGTCATCCGCAGCGCAATGGAATACTGTGGACCCGCCTGGCTCAGGAACCGGACTGTTCTAGTCCACCACAGAGGGCTGGCTCGATTCCGACTTTCCGTTGGCAAACTTGTCACATTGGAGCCCCGCTTGTGTCACCAGGAAGCTTGGTTGAGTAAAAGACGCCAGCAGTCATTTTTAAAAAAAAATGTACTTGAAGTGTTAAAGAGAGGATAGGAAGGTTGTTATTCTGGAAGGATGAGCTGTAGAGCCTCCTTCACTGAACGTCCCCGGTGAAAGGAACCACATCTAAGTAGTTGCCTGCCTCTTACATATGGGATGAATATACTGACCAGAATTAATTTCAAATGAAATGTTTTGGAAGGGCTCAGTGAGGCAAAGCACTCTACCCAACCCAGGGGAACCTCTCCATTGAGGTCTTCTCTCTCTCTTGCTTGTGAGGAACTGATGTGAAATCTCAACCTTAGTGGCTGAGTAATTTACAACACAAAGCTGATGATGAATCATGCAAATTTGACACAATGTTAGAAACTCCCTTTAAACGAGTCCTGTAGCATAGCGCACTCACCTCGCAAGCGAGAGGACCCAGGTTTAGTCGATAGACAGTTTGCTTTCCGGGCATAATCTTCCAAAGAAAAAAAGAATTGGTCGCTCAATCCACAACCATTTGGCCTCTGCGTTTCAACTATTATTATTACTAAAGGAAGTCATGATGACACCTGGCACGAAACTGGTGTAGTAGGTGGTGTGTTCTTTGGAGGTTAGGATAACTTGTTGGAGGGAGCAATCACCCCACAGACAACTATCGGTACACCTAGCCGTGAAGTGCTTACTAATAAATAAGTCACTTAACTCAGCAACTAACCTACGTTGTGCCTGCCTGGGAGTGCTTGATACTGACATGAGGTGACAATGGAAAGGTATCACGACTCAACAGAAATGAACCAAAGAATACCCAATGAACAATACAGCAAAATCTGCTGCCATTAGAATAGCAGGTACCACGTTTGATGGGAGAAGTTGGGATCTAAGCTCACGACCACCTCAAAGTCAATGGTTCTCACGGCTTATCGTATGAGTGATGCTCACTGTATAGACATTGTGATGACACAAGTTGATATAAACACCCAATGAGTTGCTCTAATCATCTTAATCTGCTTCTAACACAATCTAATAAATGGCCTTGCACATGATTGACATCTCGCAGGGATGGAGCCAGTGTTCTGCAACGGGGAGAATCCCTTCTGAGGGGAAGCAGTTAGAAAACCAAAGCCCAGCATTTTTGGTATTCATGCCCTTTGGTTCCATCCCTGCTTCCAACTGTGTCCAGAGACGCACAACACAGACATTGGATAGGTTGTGTTTGTTAGCCCAGAAACAAAACAAAAACAAAATTGGTCACTCAATCCACGACTGTTTGTGGGACGCTGCTGTGCGCAATTGGCTGCCGTGTTTCGCCCACAAAATGCACAGTCAATTCACTTTACAATATATTCTGTGAAGGACTTTGAGACGTCTCAACGACGTGATAAGGCGCTGTGTCAAATGGAAACATTATTAGTATAACCATTGTAATGGGATGTGCTGTGCCATTTTGGAAGATACTCTTTAAGAGTTTCCAAAATAGCAGCGATCATGATCTACCAAGATTTCAATGCCGATTTGCCTACAAAGTTTGGGATCTGGGCGAACAGTGTTCATTATTATAAAATCTTTATTAAATCACAGTGTTGTTTATTACTGTGTCCCTGTGCTCTGTAGTCCTTGACTACGATTGGTCATTACACACAAGTCAAACCATCTTAGATGTTCTCCCATCTTTATGATCTCTCTCCACCAGACTGAGAATCCTTCGGACATCCAGGAACCAAAGGGATTTAAGCGACAGCACAGCGAGTCTTCAGGGAACCCAGAGAAACGTATGAGTTTGGATACCGGAAGTGACGTCACTGAAGAGGTTTGTATATTGGAGTGAAGCTCATTCTCCTTTACCACAAGTCTGTATTAAATCCCCATTCATCTGTTTTCTTGCTTTGGGACACCTTCCCTCAAACCCTCCACCCCATCCTCTCTCTATCTGTGTTCATGTCCTGCCTTAAAACATCCCCCCCCTCCCCAGCATCCACATCACCAAAAGCACTCCCAAGATGTTAATTATAATAATCCTTGCATTTGATATAGTACCCTATCACATCATTGAGACGTCTCAACAGTAAATCCTGTGAAGCGCTTTGAGACGTCTCAACAAAGTGATAAGGCACTATATCAAATGCAAGGATTATTAGTAGTAGTATGAGAAACTGTATAAAACCGGGTTACATTCTCTAGGGCTGAGAAACGTAGAAGTTATTTCAAATGATGAAGAGAATGGACAAGGTAGATAGTGGAGGAATCATCTCTGATAGAAGAATCCAGGACAAAAGGATGTAATCTTAAAATAATGACAATAATCACTGTTCTTGCCTTTGATTTTAGAGATTTTTTGAATTGAAATAAACAGAAACAGGATCAGTCGCTGGGATGCTATTGTGTCCTGCTGTGGTTAGATTCCTATCACCTTGTCCTCAGCACGGATTCTCCTATTAATTTGTAGACTAAATACTTTATCTTCAAGACGCAAACCAAACTGCAGGCAAAATAATCAAAGGGGATAAACTCAATTGTTATTCCCTGGTCCGAGCCAATGTGTCAGGGTAAATGGAATTGCCAACGACCATCTGTGTGGGAGCAATCTGTGCTAAAGTGCATGACCGTAGCTATGAATATGTACACCCAGCACTACTGCATTAATTCCCATGGCACCGCCTGGAACAAATGCAAAAGGTTATTAATGTTCAAAGCTTTAATCTTCACTGCATTTATTAAGCATTGTGTGGGTAACTGAGGCCAATAGCGCAGGTGTTGATTTGAACAGAGAGACGGAGATTAGAAGAATTCTCTAAAAGCAGCAGCTTTGAATCTACATTAAATAGTCAAGGTCATTTGCTTCAGCTTGCGGATTCATTACAGTCAATAGTACAGTCAAAATACACAGTCAATCCACTTTACCAATATATTTTACGAAGTGCTTTGAGACATCTCATCGATGTGATAGGGCACTATATCGTGGAGTCCTGTAGCTCAGTGGTTAGAGTACTCGCCTTGCAAGCGAGACACCTGGGTTCAATTCCAGGCACAGGGCGAAACCTTGGGCACGTTTCCTTACTCCACACGCCTAATAATAATCCCTCCAAAACAAAACAATAATAAATTGGTCATTTTCAATCCACGACTGTTTGTGGGACACTGCTGTACGCAATTGGTTGCCGGGTTTCGCCCACAAATATACAGACAATTCACTTTGCAGTCTATTGTGTGAAGCGCTTTGAGACATCGAGAAGACGTGAAAAGCGCTATATCAAATGCAAGGATTATTATTATTATATATCGAATGCAAGGATTATTATTATCAGCATTGAATTATAAAACGTACATTTGAAATGACATCCATTATTTATAAGTATTTATAAGACCTCAGGGAAAAAAATTCAGCTTCTTACCGAATAGAGCAGAATATACTTGTCGCCACAGTAATGAATGTGCCACATAGCACACAGCAGAATAACCCTCAAGAAATGAATAGCAATTCCAATTAGACTTTCCATCCGCTCACAGGATCTTGGCTTCAGCAGTAGGTCACATCAGCACAGAGTTCTGGTGGGTCAGCGACACATATTCCCAGTTATGGGAACACTCCATCTATCCCTCCGCCCTGCCCCCTCCTTCCCCATTTTCAGGTCGTGCCGTCCTCTTTGACCATGCTTACCGTTACCTCCCCCCGGCTTGGTGCCGTGCTTCACTACTGCCAAGCACTCTGGGACGTTACCCTGTCTTGAGGGGTGCTAAATAATGCAAGTTGTTATTACTCTCGAGTCAGATTGTGGGTCTGATCCCCACTTTGAGTCTTGAACTTAGATAGTCTTAAGAAGCTGACACCCCAGTACAAGTGCTGTTGCATTTGTAGGAGGTGACAACCTTCAGATGAGACGATAAGCCAAGGTCCCGTCTACTTGTTCAGGTGGACTTTAAAGATCCCATAAACCAACATAAAAGGAGAATCCCCCAAGTAAAATAGTTTTTTTGTTTAATGGGGGTTTGTGGGACATTGCTGTCCATATTTAGGCTGCTGCCTTATTATTATTGTTCATTCAACTCGCCTTTGATGCAGTTCCTAAATCTCGTTAGCCGCAAAGCTCTTTAGTGGAAGCGATCCGTGCAATCGCATTTGTTATTCCTCAGAGTGTCTTTGTGATTCACTGTGCCTTATAACTGCTGAATAAAAAGGTGCAGGCTCCAATTTGAGTAAAACCCATTAACTGCAGGAAATTGGAGATGCATCATGTCTGGCTGATGTTACATTTCAAATTCCCAATGGAACTGAACCCACAACTCAACTTAAATTAAGGTTTGATTGTTACTTTCCTTTGAGTTGTTGAGGTGCGTTATAGTCGCATTGTGGGATCTCAGAAAGGAATAACAATCCTGGTTTAGTGGCTTAATGCTGTTTCACAGAAGATCCAATCTCCGACACAATTATTTCACAAATAGTAAATGGAAACCTAAAAGAGAATTTAAGGAGAACTACTTCATGCAGAGGGTAATGAGAATGTGAAGCTCACTGCCTGAAACGGTGGTTGATTCAGATGGTGTCAACGCATTCAAGAGGAAGCTAGATCTTCAGAGGGAGAGGTGAATGGAAGGGTATTGGAGAGAGTAAGGAATGGTTGAAGACTCATGTGGACTATAAACACAGGCACAGATTGGATGGTCCGAGTGACCTGTTTCTGTGCTGTACGTTCTTTGTAAATTGTTAAAAGCAGGAATATAACTCTGCCGCTTATTAAAGTGTGGGTGATCTTTTTAGCATTGGATTTTGCCCGCAAACTATAGAACCATAGAAATGTGTGCACATAAGAAGACCGTTTGGCTCATCATGTGTGTGCGATGACACTTTGAAAGAGCTTCCCCATTGCCCCATTCTCTTGTCTTTTCCCAATACCCTTTTGTAATAATAATAATAATATAAATATAGCGCCTTATCACGTTGTTGAGGCGTCTCAAAGCTCTTCACAGAATTTATTGTAAAGCCGATTGACTGAGTATTTGTGGGACACTTGTTTTTTGGTATTCAAGTCTTGCTTGACTTGTATTCTTTTGATGTCCAAATGATCTTCTGCATATTCTTGTCACCTTTAGGTTGCTGCTGACGTGGAGCCAGGACCTGGTGAAGAAATGGTGAGTGACATTTCCCAGTCTTCTCAAGTGAAGACCGTGGGTGAGGTAGAGCCCGTGCAGAACCCAGAGGAGCCCACGGAAGGGAACGAGGCTGCTGACAAAATCGACCATGAGATAAGCCGGTCAGGATCGGGCGTTGAATCCACCATGGACACAGCAGAAGAACACAAGCACTTCAGCAGCGAGGAGTCATCTGACGAGGAAGAACAGGAGCGCCATTCGCCGAGTATCCTTCCGCCTTCGGTGTTGGACCAAGCCAGCTTCATTGCAGGGCATTTCATGAACAATCGATCCAGGTGCAACAGCCTGGTGATGGACGACAGCAGATCCTTTGGCTGTCCGACCCCCAAACTGACCACCAGCAGGCGAAGTAGCATTTCGAGCATCGAAAACGCAGAGAAGCTGGTCCGGAACAGCAGTGCCTCCAATGTGAACGACGCATTCCTAGAAGCCTCTGCCGTGCAGTCCGTTAACAGCCAGGAGAGTCTCGTGGATGACTCTAATCATAGTGGCCAAGGGGACTTGTTATCAGAGATCAGCCGAAATATCCGGAGGCGAATGGATTCCACTCTGTCCAGGCAGGACAGGCTCCTCATTGAGAAGATTAAGAGTTACTATGAGCACGCGGAGCACGAAGACGCCGATTTCAGCATCCGAAGACGTGAGAGTTTGTCCTACATCCCAACAGGTCTGGTCAGGAATTCCATCTTCAAATTAAGCGTTCAAAACAAGGACAAAGACAAGGATGAGAATGTCCACGAAGCTCCAATTAGGAGATTGCTGTCCAGCTCAGGGCACACTGCCGCCAACCACAGCAAGTCCTCACCTCGTGTCTGGCTGGACACTTCAGACCCATTCACCGAAAGGAGCTCCCGTTCCTCTTCTCCAGAACCAGGGAATATTTCAGACCCTCAACAGACGCAATTAAACGATCCCGCGCAAGGAAGCCCACCTTCGGATGGTCTGAGACACGCAATGGCAGATCCCCAGGAGCATGTTGCGGAGACCGAGTTCCGATCTTCTGCGGAAATGATTAAAATCTGGCAAAAGATGGAGAAAATGTCTGGCAGCGCAGACGGGACCCTGAGAAGGCATAAGCTGAGAGAAGAGGTGCAGAGTTCAGCATCGGAGGCTGAGGTCTCGGAATGCCGATCTCAATTGCTGAAAGAAAAACAGGAAATCGAAGACTCGGAACACTGCATCATAAAACACCTCAGCAACGGAAGAATCATATTCGGTCTCGATCTGAACGAGCCTCTGGTTATCCTGGAAGATAGTGACTTAAGTGCCATAACAGAGGAGTCGCCTATTTCGTCGCCGGCCAGATCGGTTTATGAAAGTGGGAACTACGAGCGACGGAGCGATAGATCCGAAGGCGAAGAGCGCAACGCGACAGGAGAGCCGGTTGTTCTCCAGGAACCGGCTCCGCCCTGCCGAGCACCACCGCACGTCCAACACAGTGAAAACACGGAACAAGAGAAAAAAGCCTCCCGACCGCAGGGTACAGGCTCCCAGGTCACTAGGAAGAAACATGAACTTCCAACCCTGAGCGTACCAGCACAAGTCACTCCAGCACCATCCATGGCACAGAGTGAAGAGCTGCTGAGAGAGGTGGCGGAGAAGATGAAGTCCAAGGTCTACCAGCTGGCCAGGATCTACAGTCAGCGCATTAAGAAAAACAAACCGGTGGTTAAAAAGCGGGTCCAGGATGTCGAGGATGACCCGATAGATAATGAAGAGGAGAGGAGAACCGCAATAGGGAGTCAGCAAATCTTTCAGGAAGACAAGAGGCAAATAGTTGCTGCAGGTTAGTGCAACTCTGGCTTAAAGCGGAGAGCATGTGATGAACAGCCTGTCAGTCAATGTACTGGAGGCTGACTGATATCTACAGATATATCTGGACCTAATGCTGACCCGGCAGTGTGGGATGAACACTGTGGAGTGTGGTTTATTCTGTATCTAACCTGTGCGGTAACTGACCTGGGAGTGTTGGATGGACAGTGTAAAGGGAACTTGTCAGTCAGTCAGTGAGTGTTAGCGCTCTCGCCTCTTGTTTCAGAAGGTTGTGGGTTCAAGTCCAATGTCAGGACTTGGAGTTACACAGTCTAAGGTGACACTCCAATGCCATGGGGGTGAGTTACATTGTCAGAGGTGCCGTCCTTCGGATGAGACATCAAACTGCAATCCCATCTTCCTGTTCAGGTGGACATTAAAATTCCCATGGCACTATTTGAAAAATGAAAGGAGTTTCTCCCGGTGTCCTGACCAACAAATCCCCCAAATATAATTGGTCACTCACTCCATTGGCTGTTTGTGGGACATTGCTGTGTGCAACTGGCTGCTGCGTTTCACCCATAAAATGTAGTCTTACTCTGTACGCAGACAAGTAATGAGGAAGTGTTGTAATTCAGATCCCCAGCCGCTCAACTCCCACCGTCTAAACTCACTCTAGCTTAAAGCTGGGAGCATGCAATGAACAGCCTGTCAGTCAATGTATTGGAGGCTGACTGATATATACAGGTATTTCTTGATTTAATGCTGACCTGGCAGTGTGGGATGAACACTGTGGAATGGTAATTTTTGTCCATCAAGAGTGAGTGCACAGAGATTAAATGTTTTAATTGGGGAGAAGCATTGGCGCATTGAAATAATTTGATTTACATCTCCCTCTTTTTCTCTTCCTCTCTCTCTCTCTCTGTTACTACTTGCTCGTCTGTTCCATTTTTTTCCGCCTACAACAGAAAAGCCAAAGATGACACTGTCTTTGCCTGTCTACGACCGGGTCATTATTCACGAACAGGAACCTTTGATACCTGCCCTGGACCAAAGAGACATCTTGCTGCCAAACAAGGATTTCCTAGCGTTTCCGCTTTCCAGTAGTTCCAGCAGAACGTCTTCCCCTCGGCACTCCATGGCCAGACCCCGGCTCCTCTCTCCTGTGGTCTCCCAGTCCAGGAGCCCCCTCAGCCCCACGGAGATCGAAACCTTTGTGTGGCCAGATGTGCGCGAGCTCCGCTCTAAGTACCTTTCCTCGGACTCCCAAACCTACACTTTGAAGACGGCCGGCGGAGTTGGTCATTCCAAATCGGGTAGATTCACGAAGAGCACATCCGTACCAAACGGGATGCTGGAAAACAGTCAGACCCATTCCAGCTCTGCCTGCAGGAGTGAACTGAGCCACTCTCCCACCACCTTAGTGCAGGTCCCCAACCGGGGAAGAGCAGCCTCGTCCAGTACAGTGGAACGAGGAACCAGGTCTCACTCCCTGAGCCAACCTCCCCAGCAGCTCAGGTGTGAAAGGTGCTGTCGGACACGCATGTCCCGTTCGAGGACAGCGTCCCTGGATAGTAGAAGCACCGAGCGATGTTCTAGCTTGGACTGTAAGCATTGTCACTTTACTTCCAGCAACCACTACATTTCCTCAGAAATAACTCTGCAAGATGATCAGAAGGGTGTCTTCATGGAAAATCTGCCTGATGATGATGATGAGGAGGAGGAGGAGGAGGCCGACCTGAGCAATCATAGGAAGGAGCAAACGGACGATGACAACAGCTACGTCCAGATCAGGTCTCCCACGTCCAGAGAAAAGATCTCCATTCGGGCGGTCATCGAACGGTGCAAGGTCTACCAAGAGTCTGAGGAGTACAAGCTGAGGGAAGACGGTGAGAGCCAACCCAAGAGACAGGGCTCCTCTGTCCCATTCAGTAAACACAGTGGCTCCAAAGGGCTGGAGAAGGTGGGCTTCTCGACGAAACAGGTGTCGGACCTGAGAAAGGAAACGAGTCAAATCACGAGGAGCACAGAACTGGGCCAACAGGGCCTCGTGAAAAATCTGAGAGACAGGTTTCAAAGCCTCAGTTCAGCCAGCAACAGCTGAGTGGCTTCAGCTTGCCTCGCACGTCAAGCACTGAACCTGGTTGATTTTCTCACGTACTCTTTTTTTTGCTGTCGAGCCTCGTTGATGAAGTGATGGTATATTTTGGATTCAGACGACTGGCCTGGAATATTGACCGACCATACTTCCATTGAGACGTCCAGCAACTGAGACTAGTAAAGGACATTGCAAATCGTAGCCAGGTTATTTAATATTCTTGCACAGATTTTTATGTTTGTGCATCCTCATTGTTAATTTAAAGTTTTTAAGTTAAACACTTGCCTTCGGTTGCTAACGGTCAGAGCGTCACCAGGTAACTTCATCTGACTTCTTCAACCCATTTCGACCCATGGTGCTTCCATGTACCATTCAGACCTGCCTTGTTTTAGTCAGCTAGGTGTCTAACACACGCAGAAACCCATTGCTGTGCTTCAACACTATCCAAAACAAGTACTGGGAGTTCCACTTTTGTAGTTTCCGTTAGTTAGTCCACCAAGGGATGCACCCCTGTCCACCTAAGCCTGGAGTGTTCAGGCGGAGATTGGCAAGAGTCAAGGCTCGGGGACCCCAGATGTGTGTGTGCTCAGGTACTGCCTTCGTCTTAACTTCTTCCATCAGGGCATTTTGGTTTCCCTGTACCAAGATTTGATTGCTTTCAATTGGCTCTTCCTGGAGAGGGGAGGGGAGGTAGGGGGCGATAGTGAGGCTGTATATTTGGTCTCGCTGGCAGGTTAGTGGAAAATCAGAGTTCCCTATTATGATTCCCCCAGTTTCTTACAAAAGTCTGTTTTGTGGAGGCAGGAAAAAGGACCTGGATGAGGTTTGGTGACCTGCACCCACAGGTCTATACAAATTTGCAGGGCTATCGGGAGAGAAAGAGCAAGTGGGATTAGTTTGGACAGCTCTTTCAAAGAGCCGGCGGGGGCATGATGAGCCGAATGGCCTCCTTCTGTGCTGTATAATTCTACAAATCTATGAATTACTGCCATTTGTGAGGACTGAACCCTGGGCACTGGTGTAACCATTACCACCGGGAGAGTCATTTCTTCAGTGGACGCAATACTTGCTCTCCTTCGAAGGGCCGTTGCTTGAGACGGGTTTTGACATCCCAAATGTCAGGATTTGTATGGAGCAGGACATATTGGGTTGGTTGGTCATTCTCTCGGGCGCAAACCTTCGACTGTCCAGCGGCTTGGGATGTCTAGCCTCCCAACGTGAAAGGTGCTCTATAAATGCAATTTGTCGTTCAGATACCGAGCAGGAAAAAAAAATGGGAAAAAAACAGTGGGAACAGCGAGAGGGCAGAGCGACACCTTAAGCAAGCTTCCTTACTCCGCACGTTCCTGTTTATCCCGCGCGTCCCTGTTTATCCAGCAGTCCTGTATTGGGAGGGGTAAGCTATCCAGATAAATTGCCCCTCTTTTCAAATCTGTTTCAAGAACGACATCCAATACCGCAAATGGGTCACATTGAGACTCCCTCCCTCCCTCAAAAAGGTGATGCCTTTGAGTTTCTTGCATCACTCAGTCATGTTTTGCCCACAAAATAAACAGTCAATCCACTTTACAGTATATCCTGTGAAGGGCTCTGAGTCAAATGCAAGGATTATTAGGAATTATTATTGTTCTCTCAGCTGCCCATTGGTTTGAAGCAAAAACAAAAGTCAAACATGCCTTCAGCTATTGGAGTGCAATCACTAGTAATCAACTGTATCCCACTTTCAACCCTTAGAGTGGCCTTGGAGAGATTACAGTGGTCCAGATCAGAGTAGCCAGAAGCCCAAACTGGAGGAGTTTGTGCTGGTGAATCTCCTGCACGTTTTATTAGGAGGAGAGACATCAGAGAAAGCACTTTTACTTCTAGAACCATTTTGTGGAGTAACATCTGTATCCAAATACAGTTTGAAGACCGTAAATTATTGTCGCTAAAATTGAACCCATATGTATTGAGTCTGAACTGGGTTTAAGTCCAGTTGGAGTCATTGGCAGCCAGGGACAATTGCAGTTCAGGTCTTCGGCCACTAGGTGTCAACAGTGCTTTTTTAATAATAATAATAATCCTTGCATTTGATATAGCGCCTTATCACGTCTTCGAGACGTCTCAGAGCTCTTCGCAGAATATACTCTAAAGTGAATTGACTATATTTTGTGGACAAATATAGTTCCTGGGGAGGAATTCAGTCGAATCTTGAGATAAGTGACAAAGGTCATAAAATTCAGATCATTAGCAGAATAAATGGATTAATTTGCTACCTCAAATCACATGTGCATTCCCTATTCCTTAAAATATACAGTACACAGTCACGGTGCGTGACAGCAATTACATGTGAAGTGCTTTGAGGTGTTGTGACCTTCTGGGGCACTGGATCAATTACAAAGATTGTGATTATTAGGTTTTCTTTCAAACCTGTTTGGTGGCTGTGATGAGGCAGTAAAGTCAAAGCATCTCAAAGCTCTTTACCAAGGTCTCTCTCTGTAAGTGTAGTGACTGTGACTGCAGGTAAACCAGGCAGCCAGTTTGTGCTCAGCAAAGTAGCAAATGAGTGTTTCAGACATCTGCTGACCTTGGGGATTATCACACAAACCTGCAAAGTGCTCTCTCCCTTTGTCAGGTTTGGTGATAGCGGAATCGAGAGTGGAGCCAGTCCACAAAAGCTCCAGTGCAATATATTATATCAGAATTATATCAGGAGTATAATTGGAGTTGAGGTATAGATCAGCCATGATCTGATAGAATGGCGGAACAGGCTCTGGAAGCTAAAGCTGTACAGTGCGTACCTCCACTTTAACCTTTTAGGGAATGCATTTGTGGAATTAAAAAATCCAGATCTCCATGACACCCACTCGTCGGAACGCACATCACTTTTAACCTGATCCATATTTGACCAGGATTCCCCGAAGCAGCAGTGATGTGTGTGACCAGACATTCTCACTGCCAATCTCTTAGTTCAGAAAGACGTTTTCTTAATCAAGAAATATCCCCAAATGGCAGCATGCATCCAATCCCTACCCTACAGTGGGGCTGTTGGACTAGAGCAAACCGTGGTCTAACTGTTTCTCACGCTTGCTGACTCTCTGATGTCTCTTTTCTCTTGGTGTCCTGGCCAACAATTCCTCCCCCAACCCCCCACACCCAAATTTCGACAAGTAAATTTGGTCACTCACGCCATGGCTGTTTGCGGGAAATCTGTGTGTGTGAGTGGCTGCCGTGTTTCACCAACAAAATACACTGTCAATCCACTTACGGGGTATCCTGCTTTTGAGATGTCTCGATTCACGTGATAAAGCGGTATATCAAATGCAAGGATCATTATTATTATTATGTAAAACATTTGCTGACGCTGGTCTCAACCAAACAAGCGCATTCACTCCATTTGGTAACTTATTAAGGATCAAGCCTGTGTGAAGAGCTCAGATGATTTTTCCTTGAACTCTGGTTCAAGGCTACGTGAACTGGTGCCACAGTGACCTACTGCCTATCTTAAAGCTCACCAGTACAGAAGGTGGGCACTCGATTCTGTGTTGTACATTATTTACTGTGTCTGATGTATAGTGTAACATTTTATAGATGGGACAATGTAACCTGTAGTGTTCCTCTACGTCTTATTATACAGTCACGAGATGTAACTATTTTGGAATGTTTCGCAATTGACTACTAAAGACTACATTCCTCATTAAACGTGATGAATTGACCAGCGCGTTCCTTCCTGCCTGTCGGTTCCTCCTTACTGCTTAACCTAGTAGCCTGCTGCAGTGTGTCAGCCTCAGTCAGTAGCACTCAGAAGGTTGAGGGTTCAAGTCCCACATTAGGACTTGGCATCACGCAGTCGAAGCTGACTTCCGATGTTGTCCTGGGGGTGTGTGTTGGATTGTTGGAGGTCCCGTCCTTCAAATGAGATGTTAAACTGAGGTCCCATCAGCCTATTCTTGTTAAAGATGTTAAAGATCCCATGACATTATTGGAAATGAGAAGGGAATTTTGCTCTACTGGTGTCCTGGCTAACAATCGCCCAGATAAAATTGGTCACTCACAACATGACGGTTTGCAGGATGTTGCTGTGTGCAAATTGGCTGCTGTGTTTTATCTACAAATCAGTCACTGCACTACAGTAATCTCTGTGAAGTGCTTTGATACATCCTCTTGATGTGAAAGATGCTGTATCAAATGCAAGGATTATTATTGCATTAATTGTGTAATTAAAAAACAATGATTTTGCAAATCCGGACTTTGTAAGAGGATTTTGCAATGTTTTAATGACATAATTGAAATACATAGGAAGAGTCCCATAGATCACTTCCCAAGTGAGAAGAGTTGGGTTGTTAGTCAATTGGCGGATTGCTTTCTGGGGTAAATAATCCCTTTTTTAATAAAAAAAATTGTTCACTCAATCCACGACAGTTTGTGGGAAACCGCTTTGACCAATTGGCTGCGTGTTTCGCCCACAAATACACAGTCAATCCACTTTACAACATAGGCTGTGAAGTGCTTTGGGACGTCTCAACAACGTGACAAGGTGCCATAATCAAATGCAAGGATTATTATACTTTAAGGGTATCTGTCCATGCCCTCTGGAAATCTCATTAACAGTGGTTAGCGAAACCTGTGAATGAGAACCCCAAGTAATCCTGTCAGAGAGAGCCCTGTGCCATTTGGCAGTGGCTCACAAAATGCAGTGCGCCTTTAAAGGCTGTCACCTCGCCTCTCTCTACTGCAATCAGCTCGCTCCTGCCTTGGCTGCAAGTCACAGCCCGGCTCTCTGGCATTAAGCACCCGTTCATCCCCACACGACTCTCCGACATCCTCCATCACAAAGGGAAAAAAAAAAGCCTGTTATTATTTGTCCTTTATAAGAACACTTTGAAAGAACTTGTCACAACTTGAGAAAGAATCCTCGTCGAAGTCGAGCTCCAAAGAACTGGACTGTTTTGTACATCAAAAGCATTGCCAGCCTGGGGGGTGGGTGGCGGGGGTGGGTTGCTCATTTGAAGATCTCAGCGTGCGCGTGTGTGTGTGTTGAACGCTCTATTCCCCCCCCTCCCCACCCCTCGCTCGGGATGGGGTGTGCGATCTCAGGACCGGGGCAATACCCGGCAAGCGGGAGAGAGGACGTTGTCGCGGTGGCCAGTCTGTCCCTGAGCGACAGGCAGACGCAGCTGGTGAAGGAGACGTGGAGGCTGGTGCAGGAGGACATCGCCAAGGTGGGCATCATCATGTTCGTCAGGTAAGCCAGGACCCCAAACTTTTCCCACCAAAAAGTACGCTGGTTCGAAGTGGTGTTTTGTCTGTCGATCCCTCTGCTTTATGTCCAGAGTGAATCCTGTGTGAATGTGATGACCTTTTTTAATATCCTTTTAACACTCAGCAACCCTGCATTTGAAAAGGCTTCAGAAGGGGAGAAATCCTCATGACTACTTAAAATCAATTTAAAAATAATAATAATTTGGTCACTCAACCCACAACTGTCTGTGGGACGCCGCTGTGCACAATTGGCTGCTGCGTTTCACCCACAAAGTACGCATTATTCTGTGAAGCACATTGAGAACTCCTTGAAGACGTGATAAAGCACTATATCAAATGCAAAGATTATTATTATTATCCTTTGAAATGTGTTCAATTGACCGGGCAGACTGAGGGGTGTGAGTTTATAATTGTAGTCGATCACCTGTTACACGCTCACACTGATATGTTCAGCCAGCAGTGGAATCAGACACACTCCCTGATCAGGATATTCAGTGAGGATTAACAGTCAGAAAACATTTTATGATTTTTTTTTAAATGATCAATTTTCCTCCTTCCACTGTGATGCCACAGACACAGATAATTACGCCCTGGGGAGAGCCTGTTCTGGCATTTCTAGAGGCAAGAGCAGAGTACGATACCATACAATAACAACAGCTTGCATTTATAAAGCGCTCTTCACTTAGGGCAGCGTCCTGGAGCGCTTAACAATGCCGGAGCCTGACACTAAGCTGTGGGGGGGGGGGGGCGAGGAAGTTACCGTAAGTATGGTCGAAGAGGAAGATTTTCAGTTCTGATCCAAAAGAGGGGAAGGAGGGGACAAAGTGGAGGGATTGAGCGAGAGTGCCAAAGCTTTGGGGCGTCGTGGCTGAAAGCACGGCCGCCGATGCTGAAGTGAGGGGGATGAGGGACGGGCAGGAGGCCAGAGCCAGGCGGGCTGAGGCAGCGGGTATCGGAGCAGAGAGTAAGCAGGTCAGAGAAGGAGAGAGGTGCCAGTTCATAAAGGGATTTGCAGGCGAGTGAGAGGATCTTGAAATCGATCCATTCTGCGTTGGGGAATAAGTGAAGCCTGGTGAGGACTGGAGTGAGGAGGATATGAAGTTTAATACAGGCAGCAGAGAATAGCACCCCCTCTCCCCCCCCCCCCCCCCGAAAACAGTGAATATCTGTAAAGCTAATCAGAGCTGATTGATACCTTATCTTTACTGTGTATCACACCCATGCTGGAGTCACCTGAGGAATGCTGGATGGACGGTGTAGAGGCAACTTTTCCGTGTGTACACTGTGCTTTTATCTGACCAGAGGGACCTGAATGGGGAAGTGCAGTGGGAGCTTTACTCTGCACTGCCTCACACTGTATCTGAGCTGGAATGCAATCCCAGACCAGGTTAGGTGTAAAGTCTGTTATACAGAGTGAATCAAATGTCCTTATTCATGGGTCTATGTGAGGTGTTCAAACTGCCTGCTATGTAGATGTTTACACATATCAACTCAGTGACAAAAACTTTCACGTACGCGATGAAAGACATCTGCTGTAATATCTGCACACTCTCGAGCAACGTTGTCCAAAAAAAGTAATTAATAATTAATAACTCTGTGTAAGGACTTCCGGTTCACCCTGTATACACAGTCACTACACTACTTTATACTCGCTCTCAGTATAGCTCTCTGTTATGTTCCTGCTTCCCAGTGACTAAATGGTTTCACCCTCAGTGACTGAACAGCTGATTCCTCAGTAACTGCACTGATAGAATGGTTCAGTTAATAATAACAATAAAAATAATAATAATCCTTGTATTTGCTATAGCGCCTTATGTTGTTAAGACTCTCGAAGCGCGTCACAGGATATACTGCAAAGTGATTTGACTGGTATTTTGTGGGCGCAACATATAACAACACAGTTACATGTCCACAATCACCTGTAACTGCACTGGCGGAATAGTTCAGTTACCCACACTCACCCTAGTCAAAAGGTTCTGGATCCCATCCCATGGAACTAGCTCCCTGATGACCAGAGTGGGCCGTGCACTTTGTTTGCAGACTGTTCGAGACACACCCCGAGTGCAAGGACGCCTTCTTCCTGTTCCGAGACATCGATGACCTTCAGCAGCTGAGGAAGAGCAAAGGGCTGCGAGCTCACGGTCTGAGGCAAGTCATTGTGTGGGTGGGTGACAGGCAGGTTCCATTACTAGAGGGTCTCATGGGTTGAGAGAAACAAGGCCGATGCGCTTTTTTTGGGTCAGCCGAGTGTTTGACACGTGCGGAAACCCATCACCGTGCTTAAGAGTATCCAAACCAAGCTGAGAATACCATGCATCCGCCTACACACGGAAATCTCAGAGATGGATTGTTGGAATGGAATGCGCTCTCTTTCTCCCTGGAGGGACGCATCCCGCTTACCTAATTCCCGGAAAGTATTAGCCGTAGGTTGGCAAGAGCCAAGACTTGGGGACCCCAGATTGCGAGTTGGAGTAACTGTCTGAGTCTAACTGGCTAAAACCACATACTTTGCCATTGATCACTGTGTGGCAAGCTTTCCCACTTCTTGTCCAGCTAGGACCGCCCTACCTCTTAGGGCGTTGGCTTGCAAGGGTTAACAGGAACTGAATAGCCCTCAAGCGGTTGAGTTTGTCTCACTGTATGAATCGTGAGCGGTCACGTAAGCAGCCTCCGGTCCCGCGCAATGATTGACTGACTGCACCATCTCAGCTGTGCATTGGTAACATTACAGAGTGATGTCGTTCATTGAGAAGACAGTGGCCAGGCTGGACCAGGAGGACCGGCTCCAGCAGCTCGCGTTAGAACTCGGAAAGAGTCACTTCCGCTACAGTGCAGCACCCAAGTACTACCCGGTAAGGGGGCTCTCATGTTTTGGGGGAGGGGGTTACTGGGTTAGTCAGTGATTTCAGCAATATTTCCCCAAACAGTTCAATCACCTAATTGTTCCAACCCTGCTGAACAGCACAGGCAAAGGGGAGTTTTACTCTGTATCTAACCCATGCACTAACTAACCTGGGAATAAAAATCTATACCAATGTCAGGAACAAAACTCCCAGATTATTTCATAAACTCCTGTAGTAGATATCAATTCTCTGTTTTCCTTCCCTTTTTCCCCACCCCTGAACATCAACTGAGGAGCTTGTTCCTCCTCCCCAGGTCATTTTCTGCACAGTATGGTTCATCATTGAAACAGAAAGCACTCTCTCAAGTCCTTTGTCTTGTCATGGTCGAGTTCAGTCTGACAACATTGTGTACTGTGTCCTCCACCACCACAAACACAAACTCACACACACCTTGCTTGACCAGCTGACACATACCTCTTTTCTCACTTAGTATGTCGGGAATGAATTTATTTGTGCAGTGCAGCCCATCCTGAAGGAGAAGTGGACCGCGGAGGTTGAAGAAGCATGGAAGGTAATACTAGAATTCCCACTGCCCGACCTTTGATGAGTTACTCTGGTTGTCTGCCCTGTATCACATTGCTGTTTAAGGAAAAGAGTTAATTTGGGACGTTAAGGGTGAAGCGGTAATCCATGATCTGCCGAATTATTGAAGCTCAACGGGCTTCCTCCCACTAATTATTACAATAATAATCCTTCAATATAGTGCCTTAGCACGTCGAGACGTTTCGAAGCGCTTCACAGAACATAAAGTGGATTGTCTATATATATATTCTGGGTGAAGCACGACAGCCAATTGTGGACAGTAATGTCCCACAGTCGTGGATTGAGAGATCAATTTTTGAGGGGAGGGATTATTACCCCCGGATACTGATCCGCCAAATTATCGATAACCGGTTTCCTACTTACTGCGAGGCAATTAGAGGCATGTGAAGTAAGAGAATTTGCCTAAGGTTTTGCCCCACCCGGAGAACGAACCCGGGCCCTCTCGCTTGAGGCGAGCGCTCTAACTACATAGGATTCTTTATAATTCTTCAGACTATCATCTGCTGGTCATGTCTTTCTCTGCTTGCAGGGCCTCTTTCACTATCTAACCAGTGTGATGAAAAAAGGCTACCAGGATGAGGAGAGGGGCAGCTGCCCCAGGGAGAAGCCAAAGCATGGCCCCAACTCTGTGTAACTCAACCAGGACCCAACGCCTTCCCTCTGTATGTCTGGACAGTCCCAATCAAGGAACTGTGCATCCTCTATGTCTAGACAGGTACAATAAACTCATGCACTCTCCGGGCTGGAGTTTTTTGCCTCTGTACAACTGAATTGGCATCACTGCAGCAAGTGACCACACACTGAATCTCACTCATAACCGGGGTATTAGGGGTGAGATGCCCGGTACCTCCAGTCCACAGCCCCAATACAAGATCACAAGGAGACAGACAGTGGTGGTGGGTGGGGGGGAAGCTTGAGAAGCACTTTAATGGGAGTCAGTGAACAGATTTGCAAAAGAATTCAGAAATTAATCTTCCAAATCTAGTCAGAAAACAGGCCCTTCTCAGACCAACACATGCATTTGCACACATAACACAAACCTGATGTTTCTACACTTCCCCCAAACATCTCTTTGCTTTGTCCTTCAATGAAAGATTAACACAGCCCAGAACAAGGCTAAACCCAACTCCCGTGAAGTCACTGAATGGCAGAAATATCAACCAATCTGATATTCCACCCCCCCCCCACCTCCCATTCCACCAAATAAAATTAAACGTATAACGCAGCACATTTGAATTGCCCAAGAAAGGGTTTGGTCACAGGTGTGTGGGGATCGAGGCTCATGGTGTCTGGTGTCACCGTCCCCCTCACTGAGTTGCTTTAGTCTTCTTGGTTTTGCTCTTCTTGTCCTTCTTCTTCAAACCGTCCATGTGGGCTCGCAGCAGGTTCGAGTATGCCTGCAACCAAACAAAACACTAAGACTGCAGCCACATTGAGAACCCACGCTCTTGAGACATTATCTGCGTGAAGGCCGCTATAGTGTACGTTGGAGTAACTGGCTGAGTCTAACCAGCTAAAAACGCACAGCTTGCCATTTGAGATCACTGTTTGGCAAGCTTTCCTGCTGCTTGTCCAGCTAGTACCACCCTACCTGTTCGGGTTTTGGTTTACAGGATTAACAGGAGCTGAGTGGAAGGTTTCCAGTGACCGGTCTGCCCTGCCAAGTCCTGCCAATGAGCCAGGCTTGCTGTGCTGTCATCAGCAGGACCCTGGAGTATGGCAGAGCTGCCTGGCTCAGGAACCAGACCTCCGAGACCTCCACACCCCAACACAGCCTCTGCACCAGCTCTCATACGCCCCCCCCCAAATAGAGCCCACTGTATCCCTTCAATCAGATCCAGGCAATCGTGCAGCTTCAGGGTCAAGATGGAAGACAACTTTCCTAAGGACTTTGATTGTCACAATTTTAGCACTAACTTCAGAAGCCCAATACGTTCATTCATGTTTCGGCCCCCACCAGTGATTTGGTCACAGACTTACCATCTGAAATTTATTCACTTCTTTGGAGCTTATCTGAAAACGAAATACAGAATTCACCATCAGTACAGGGCGACACTCTAGTAATCCTCACCTGTCCCCCAGAGGTTGGCGTTCAAGATCTTCGTCCTCACCTTTAAACCTTCCTCTTCAACCGCGACTTCGGTCATCTTACCCCCTCCACCCCTTTCTTACCCTCCACGCCTCTCTGATCCTCAACCCACAGCTCGGGACATGTAGCAGGTGAGAGACGTATCGCTGCATCTCAGATCACATACAGCATGACCCACCCCCCACCCCACGACTTACCACCGTGCTGATCTTCTTCTTGCCGTCTGTGGCTCGCAGCAGGCACTTGTTTTCAGCGGGTTCAAAGGGGTCAGGGTTTCCCTTCCGCGGCACTGGTTTTGTCCGACCGTCATCTAGAGAAAGAAACAAGCCCTCGGGTTGGGACTGGTCTTTTCAACCACTTCACTCCCGAGCCCGCCAGTGCGATGGAGCTGGAGTAACATCAATGGAGATAAAGTCAGTAACGCAGGGCGCTGGCTGGGAGCGGTGACTGAGGCCCGTGGTGCGAGCGAGCTGGAGTGACAATAATTTCTTTTGGGAGGGCAGTGAGGTGAGCGGAGTCTGCGAGGGTCTCTAGTCCTGATCCTGAGCAAGGCGGTTCCGCAGTACTCAAGGGCACTGCTGATGACATCGGCAGGACCTGGAACGGCACGGGGGGGGGGGCGCGGGCAATCCTCCCGCTCGGCTCCTGTTAACCCTGCAAGCCAAAGCCCTGTAGCAGGTAGGGTGGTCCCTGCTGGACAAGCAGCGGGAAGACCGGCCGGCGGTATCGATGGCACGCTAAGCGGTTTCGGCTGCTTAGACTCCAGCACACGCTCTGGGGTCCCCGAGCCCTGGTTCCGGCCCAACCTGAGGAAGTGTCCCTCCCTCCAGGGGGAGAGTGTGGGTCACCAGCCCCCACATACAATGATGTCTGACCCCATCATTCAGGGGCAGGGGATAGACTCACATTTCTTCATGGTCAGATAGACACTGCCTGAACCCCGGCATTTCTGGAAAAGCCGCGTCAGCTCCGTTAGGAACTACAGGAGGAGGAGAGAGGACACAATGAGAGAGAGAGAGAGAGAGAGGGACACAGACAGTTGGTGTAACAGTGTGTGTGGGGGGGCGTGGGGGGGAGGGGGTGTGTGAGGGGAGGGGGTGTGGGTGTGTGTGGGGGGGAAGGGGGTGTGTGGGGGGGGGAGGGGGTGTGTGGGGGGGGTGGGGGTGTGAGGGGGTGTGGGGGGGGAGGGGGTGTTTGAGGGGGTGTGAGGGGGTGTGTGGGGGGGTGTGAGGGGGTGTGTGGGGGGGAGGGGGTGTTTGAGGGTGTCTGAGGGGGTGTGGGGTGTTGGGGGGGGGGGGGGTTGAGGGGGTGTGAGGGGGTGTGGGGAGGGGGTGGAGGGGGTGTGTGGGGGTGTGTGTGGGGGGGTGTTTGAGGGTGTGTGAGGGGGTGTGGGGTGTGTGTGTGGGGGGTGTGGGGGGGGGGGTGTGAGGGAGTGTGTTTGAGGGGTGCGAGGGGGGGAGGGGGTGTGGTGGGGTGTGAGGGGGGGGGGGGTGTGAGGGGGTGTGAGGGGGTGTGAGGGGGTGTGAGGGGGTGTGAGGGGGTGTGAGGGGGTGTGGGGAAGGGTGTGAGGGGGGTGTGTGGGTGTGTGTGGGGGGGGGAGGGGTGGGGGAGGGGGTGTGTGGGGGGTGTATGTGGGGGGGTGTGAGGGGGTGTGAGGGGGTGTGTGGGGAGGGGGTGTGAGGGGGTGTGTGGGGGGGTGTGAGGGGGTGTGGGGAGGGGTGTGAGGGGGTGTGTGGGGTGTGTGTGGGGGGGGGGGGGGGTGTGGGGAGGGGGTGTGTGGGGGTGTGTGTGGGGGGCTGTGAGGGGGTGTGTGGGGGTGTGTGTGGGGGGGGGGAGGGGGTGTGGGGTGGGGGTGTGTGTGGGGGTGTGTGAGGGGGTGAAGGGCGGTGTGTGGGGGTGTGTGTGGGGGGGCTGTGAGGGGGTGTGTGGGGGTGTGTGTGGGGGGTGTGAGGGGTGTGTGGGGGTGTGTGAGGGGGGGGGGAGGGGGTGTGTGGGGGTGTGTGTGGGGGTGTGAGGGGGTGAGGGCGGTGTGTGAGGGGGTGTGGGGAGGGGGTGTGAGGGGGTGTGTGTGGGGGGGGGGGGTGTGGTTGGGGTGTGGGGTGTGTGTGGGGGTGTGAGGGGGTGTGTGTGGGGGGCGGTGGGGGGTGTGTGGGGGGTGTGTGGGGTGTGAGGGGGTCTCACCGAGTCGCTCTCTAACAGCACCATCAGCTCCCGGACACCGTGACCCGGAACTGCTAACAGCGCCCCGTCCCCGGGCCTGGCCCCGCGCCCGAGCCTGGTCCCGCCCCCCGGGCCTGGCCCCGCCCCCGAGCCTGGCCCCGTCCCCGAGCCTGGCCCCGCCCCCCCGGCCTGGCCCCGCCCCCGAGCCTGGCCCCGCCCCTCCCCCGGGTCTGGCCCCGCCCCCCGGGCCTGGCCCTGGCCCCGCCCCCCCGCTCTGTTGTGACAGTTCACGCCGCGCCCTCCCGCCCGCTCCGCTGTTATTGTTTATAATCCGCCCGCCCGCCCGCCCCGCTTTTATAGTCTATAGAAATAGAACATAAATAATTCTCATTTCTGTGAGTGTGAGCTCCTGTGTGTGTGTGTGTGTGTGTGTGTGAGAGAGAGAGCTCCTGTGTGTGTGTGGTGTGAGCTCCTATGTAAATGTAAGCTCCTGTGTAAGTGTGTGTGTGAGTGGTGTGAGCTCTGTGTGTGTGTGAGTGGTGTGAGCTCTGTGTGTGAGTTGGTGTGAGTGCCTGTGAATGTGAGCTGTGTGTGTGTGTGTACGAGTGGTGTGAGCTCTGTGTGTGTGTGTGAGTGGTGTGAGCTCTGTGTGTGTGTGTGTGTGAGTGGTGTGAGCTCTGTGTGTGTGTGTGAGTGGTGTGAGCTCTGTGTGAGTGGTGTGAGCTCTGTGTGAGTGGTGTGAGCTCTGTGTGAGTGGTGTGAGCTCTGTGTGTGTGTGAGTGGTGTGAGCTCTGTGTGTGTGTGAGTGGTGTGAGCTCTGTGTGTGTGTGTGTGAGTAGTGTGAGCTCTGTGTGTGAGTGGTGTGAGCTCTGTGTGTGTGTGTGTACGAGTGGTGTGAGCTCCTGTGTGTGTGTGAGTTGGTGTGAGTGCCTGTGAATGTGAGCTCCTGTGTGTGTGTGTGTGAGTGGTGTGAGCTCCTGTGTGTGTGTGTGTGTGAGTGGTGTGAGCTCTGTGTGTGTGTGTGTGAGTGGTGTGAGCTCTGTGTGTGTGTGTGTGAGTGGTGTGAGCTCTGTGTGTGTGTGTGTGAGTGGTGTGAGCTCTGTGTGTGTGTGTGTGTGAGCGGTGTGAGCTCTGTGTGTGTGTGTGTGTGAGCGGTGTGTGTGTGTGTGTGTGTGTGTGAGCGGTGTGTGTGTGTGTGTGTGAGCGGTGTGAGCGGTGTGAGCTCCTGTGTGTGTGAGTGGTGTGAGCTCTGTGTGTGTGTGAGTGGTGTGAGCTCTGTGTGTGTGTGAGTGGTGTGAGCTCTGTGTGTGTGTGTGTGAGTGGTGTGAGCTCTGTGTGTGTGTGTGTGTGTGAGTGGTGTGAGCTCTGTGTGTGTGTGAGCGGTGTGAGCTCCTGCGTGTGTGCGAGTGCGGTGCGAGCCACGCGGGCGAGTGTGAGCTCCTGTGCCTACGTTTCTCTCCCGGGGTCCAGGCCAACGGTCCCCGCCCCAAATTAAAATTGCTCTTGTTAATGGCACTTAATTCAGATTAAACTTGTGAGCAGTTGGTGTGGGCACATTGGCGGATCCGGTTCACCACCGCGGTAGTGTGGCGTAGCGTTAAAACTATCCTGTGAAATCTTTTTGAGATGTGACAAGGGGCCGAATCAACTGCGAGGATTAATTTAATGATGACGATAGGGTATATATAGTATGTCTGTAGCCGGAAAAAGATGGGTGCAATTCCAACGAGAGGTGCTAGGGGACGGCATTGGCACGTGGTGAGATGTCTGCGACGCGGTGACTGACTTCTTGGTGACTGGCGTTGGGCTGCAAGCGCAGGATCGTTCTGGTGGTGAAGAGACTTGAGCTGGAAAACTCACCCACTCTGACGCTGGGTGCGCAGCAGACCTGCCGACAGACAGACGGACAGACAGACAAGACAAGACAAAACAGACAGACAGCCTCTACTGGACCTGCCGCAGTCGCACTCTACGCTGCAGCGTGACTGCAATTTGCACACAAGTCGGATGAGTGATTTGCAGTAATTACCGCCGAGTGCGCCGAGTGTTTGCTCAGGTTTATTTAATAACAACCCTTGCATTTGATACATCGCCTTATCACGTCGTTGATACATCTCAAAGCGCTTCATAGGATACACCGAAGAAGTGTATTTACGTTGCAACATACTGTACGTTTTGTGGGCAAAACTCAGCAGCCAAGTGCGTACAGCCACAAGCAGTCATAGATTGAGTGACCAAATTATTATAATATTTTTGGAGGGAACATAATCTCCAGAAAGCGATCTACCACTCAATTAACAACTAGGTTCCTATTTAAACAGGAATGTGTGAATAAGGAAGGTTGCCTAAGATTTGCTCCATCTGGGAATCGAAACTGGGTCCTTTTGCTTGGAGATGAGTGCTCTCAGCAATTCTCAATAGGACTCCCCAGTTCAGTGCTGGGGTTCTGCACGAATGGATGTGTTGTCCTTCGGATGAGAAATTAAACAGAGGCCTGGTCTGTGCCTATTCAAATGGATGTTAAATATCCCGTGGTGCTACTTGAAAAGAGATATTTGCAATATTTGCAGCCTTTCTGAGTAACCGCAACATCCCGGGAACAGCCGTGAACTAAGTCAGCTATTTCTCTGGAGTTTTGTTTTCACTGATCTGTAACCTCCATCTTATCCTCATCCGAAGCATAACAGCTCTGCTGACACAGCGATGGACTGTGAACTCCATCATCACCCCACTCAGCGAAGGAGACTGAGTGCTCAGGGGATGAACACAAGTCAGGGCCTCAATTAGATTCAGCACTAACTCACTCCCAACAATCGGTTATTCCATCTCTAACGTCCTCCCAAACCCTGGGTATGATTCCGACATCTTCAAGCACTTTATAGTCGTTACTGTGTCTTGTAGTGACTGTGTTTTATGTGCGAAAATGGCAGTCAATTTGCACACGGTAGTGTCTCGCAAACAGCTATAGAGTGAGTGACCAATTTTATTGGGGGATTGTTGGCCATGGGAATACGTGAGATGTTCAAACTGCCTGCTATATAGACATTTACACATATCAACTCGGTAGCAAAAATTTTCACAAACGCAATGAGAGGCATCTCCTGTACTAGCTGCACACTCTCTATCAGTGTCGTCTTAAAAATAAAACGTAATTAATAATTAATAACTCTGAGTCAGGACTTATGATTCACCCTGCCTTTCACCTTTCACTTTGGGAGGACGTCCCAAGGCACAGGATATTCAAGGGTTTGCACCCGAGCTGGGGGTTGGCATCAAGAGAGGTAGATGTGGGAGGATGACTGAAGGCATGGTCAAAGAGGAAGGTCTTGAGACGGGCCTTGAAGAAGCAAGGGATAGGGGACGATGCAGAGGGGCTTCAAAGGAGTTCCAGAAGATTGGGGGCAGAAAGGCTGAAGACCCGACCGCCAATTGTGGACCGGGTAGGGCGGAGGATGCAGGTCAGGCCAGTTCAACGTGTGAATCTCACCATCAGGGCTGCCACAAGGACATGAAATATCAAGATGCTCAGAGATGTTATCGTGTGTGAAGGGCACATGGTCGAGACTGTAAAGTGACTTTGTGGGCAAAATGTACCTGCCAGGTGCACACAGCACAATGTCCCACAAACAGCCATGGAAGTGACTGACCAATTTTTTTATCGTCTGGGGGATTGTCAGCCAAGACACCGGGAGAGAGGAACTGCACAGAGTGTCGGCTTAGACTGTGTGATTCTAAGTTCCCGGCTTGGGGTTTGAACCCACAACCTTCTGACTCAGAGGCGGGAGTGCCATCACTGTGCCAGGCTGACACACCATTGTGCCCAATGGCAGGATTACACCGTTAAACAGTTTGCTGTTTAGCTAAGAACGTCTGGGGGCAGAGCAGGGTCAGGCAATGGGCAGCCCTGGTCCCTGTTTGTCACACTCAGATCCAGAGCCATGGCCTACGCCCGGAGAAAAGCCTTTCCCACCATTGTTAGTGGGAATAACAGGAAGTCGTGGGACGGTTCCTTCTACACCCCACAGCTGAGCAGCTGCCTGCAGTCAGTCACCAGGCCGGGCAGCGAGCTCCAGGACAGATTCCTGGAAAGTCTGTCCACGCAGCAACGTTCTCTCTCCAAAGCTGCCCACATTGCTGGGCAATTCGCGTGGCCTTAGCATCTTAACATTGGTGGAGTCCCGTAGCTTAGTGGTTAAAGCACTCGTCTCACAAGCGAGAGAACCCAGATTCAATTCCCGAAACCTTAGGCAAGTTTCCTTACTCCACCCGCCTCTGTTTACCTAGCAATCAGTAGGAACTGGGTTGATGGTCGATTGGCGGATCATTTTCCAGGGGTAATAATGTCTCCAACACAAAAAAAACTCGATCCGTAACTGTTTGTGCGACACTGCTGTGCACAATTGGCTGCTGTCTTTCGTCCACAAGATATACAGTCAATCCACTTTCCAGTATATTCTGTGAAGCGCTTTGAATTTTCTCAATGACATGATAAGGCGCGACATCAAATGCAAGGATTATTATTATTATTATTATTATTGTTATCCAAGGTTGTGCTGAATTTTGCCAATAGCCAGTCATTCAGAAAACAGTCTGTTTCGGGACTTGGGGGCAACCAGAGTACAAAAGCAAAAGTGATTTGATTTTCGCAAAGTTCTGGATAATCTCAAATTTGAAGGCAGTGGTTTTATAGCTAAGAACATTTACAAGGTACACACACACATTTTCACAGTGGGGTTCTCATCTCAGACAGTAGTCAGGAACAGGATCTTTGCCTGATTTTCCTCTCCCCGACCCAAGACTGTCCTTCGGATGAGACGTTAAACTGAGGTCCCGTCTGCCTGTTCCGGTGGATTTTAAAGATCCCATGACACTATTCAAAAATTGAAGGGAGGCTCTCTCTCCTGGTGTCGTGGCCCACGATCCCCAGAGAAAATTGGTCACTCACTTCATGGCTGTGTGTGGGACATTGCAGTATGCAACCTGGCTGCCGCGTTGCACCCACAAAATACACAGTCACTACACTTTACCTTAAATCCTGTGAAGTGCTTTGAGATGCTTCAATAACGCGGTAAG